GACGCTGCCGGCCTCTGCTCTAAATACTCTACTCACGTACTTTTTGATATGAATCGAACACCCCTAAACACTCGACGATAGTCCCCTAGTGAAAATTGTGTGAAATAAATGTCTCTACTTCACACAACATAGCCATAAGTTAATTACGAACTATTCAGAATAAAACAGAAAACACAGAAAACCAAAATATACTCATACTTAATTATGGTTCATTAACTGCAGTTTGTTTAATTTAAACAAGTTTGATTTCAGGGTTAAGTGTAGTTTAGTTTTAGTCTTTAAACAATTGTGGGGTGCTACGTAATGGTTGGATGGGACAGTGGCTGGACTCTAGTAATATGCACGACGCGGATTATTCTGCAAAAGAAATGTAGGGGCTTAGTGGAACTCCAAGCACTCCATATAGGTAATATACCTATTAGATATGCATACTCACCAGTGGATTGGGTCGAAAGCGATAGGCTAACATCATGCGCTTCCTATATGCATCATATTCATTGTCGCAATCCTCCGGCGCGGCAGCACTGCTGACACCAAGTCCCTGATTGCCATCACGCTGCGGTGCCCTGTTCAAAGGAAGAAATCACAACTTATATTTTGTTAAATCAAAAGAGTTCCCAACCAGCATCCACACTCACTTGTTCACGGGATCTACAATACCGGCACCATCCTGGCCGAGACCTTGTCCCTCCTTCCAGCCCAGTTTCTGGAGCATTTGAAAGCCAATATTGTCTTCCTTGAGCTTGTACTCCTTGTAATCGCTAAGATCAGGCTGCCTGTTGTTCTTTTTGGCCTCGTATTGTTCCATGAACTTCTTAAGCTCCTCCGGCGGCAGGAAATCGCCAATATGATGCTTGCCCTCGCTCTGTTTGGTCAGAGCGTTTGCCCACAGCGAGGTGGCCTCCATTTCGGCATTACGCAGCTTGTGCTCCCATGTGCCGCCCTCAATATCCTCATCGGAGTCGTATTCATATTTGAATTTTCCGCCACGTGCCAGGCGATCGATTTCCTGACGCTTGCGCATCATGTCCTGGTACAGCAGATTGACCTTGTAATGTTCCTCGCATTGCTTCCACTGCTCGTCGGTGAGCTGGGTGGAGCCATAGTTAAGGCGGGCATACTGCAGCAGGGCGGGATCTGTGCGCGTAATGCTGGACAGCATCGGTTTGTTCTGATTGGCAAAGGTGCCCGAGGAACCTATCAAGAATTAAAGATTTTCAATTAAAGAGGGATTCATGGATGGATAATGGTAATGGTATTCTAAAACTCACTTGAACATGGCATCAGTTGTTCTTTTTCGCCCCAGCGACTCTTGCGTTCGCGCTTCCGACGCTGCCGCTGGGACTCCTTGTCCTCGGTGTCATCTAGTTCCTCGCCATCGATACCGGCGGCTGCCGCCTCCTCACACTCGCGACGCTCCTCATCGCTGAGCTCATTGCGGCACTCGATTCGTCGTTTGATGTTGTCCCGATTGCGATTCATCATCCCACGCATATACTCATCATCCGAATCAAAGTCCGCACTGATGGCCGACTCTGGGTCGTATTTATCCGCCGCCGAGTTGCTATTGTGCTCTTCCTGGTGTGGTGGCTGCTGCTGCTGCTGCTCCTCCTTCTGCTGATGCTGCTGCTCCCTGCTCAGCTGCTGTTGCTGCTGTTGTTGCTGTTCCCGCTCCCGTTGTCGCTCCATGCACTGCCGCTCGTAGTCAAGGAGTTGGGATCGATAGCTTCGATACTGCTCGCAGTTCTTATCATAAAGAAACCTATTATCAAAATTCAAAAGAAGTGAAACATACAATGAAAAGTGCTCAACGCTAATCACGTGTACGAAAGACATTATATGAATAACTGTTTTTTGGTTTGAGGCGGCGCCCATTGAGTTCAGGAATGCTTTCTTTCTGAGCATTCCCACGTGCCAGCTGTTGCTCCAGATTACAGACGATGATCGAGTACGAGGGACGAGGGTTACATAGTGCTTTATCGACGAGTCCATGCAAACATTCTCCCTATACACCCTACAGTCTGTCCCGTAAGTCTAGTCAATAAGTAGGGCCATAAGCCATAAGCAACAAAGAAAAACATCTGTATCTCGTTTTGAAAATCAATATGAAATATTATATATGTATGTATGTATGTATAATTCTTTAGAAATATTTGTGGAACATTTGAGCTTTGGCCTTGCAAGATATTTCTTATGGAAAATGCAATAGTAAAACAGTAAATTCTATAATTTTAAACTGAAAAAAAAACTAAACGAATTCTGTTCAATTCTGCTAAAAGAGTTAGCAATACAAAATACAAGCATTTACTTTAATAATCTATAATCTATCTAGAATTAAGAACTTTTAAGCTAAAAGTCTGATTCTGGTTCTCTGGCTAGCAACACCCCCCCACCCACAACACTGTCCTTCAACTGGTGTCTGCTGTCTTTGGTCTGCGCGTTTTGATAAATTCAAATGTACAGGTCTCATTTACCACAAAGCCGGATGCAATTCGCTTCTATGCAAACGTATTTTATCTTCATAATCTTCACCATTATCCGCGACCAGTGCGATTAGGTTTTCTAAGCACGTTGGCAATTGTATGCACGTTTCTGAAAAAACTACATAAATTGCTTTAAAATCGTGCTCAAACGATTCGTAAAATATATATAATGTAATGTAATAATAAATTAAATGAGAGGGATGTCTGGATGTGGATGTAGATATGGATGATGGGTGGATGGGTGGGTAGGAGGTTTGAGGATGGATGGAGGAGTGGCTGTGGCAGAACAGAACAGACAGCAAAAATTGCTTCAATAACGCTACACACCTTGCGGCAGTGGCCTTGGTGGTGGCTCTACAACCACTGGAGGTGGATGTGGATGCGGAAGAAGTTGCTGCGGTGGCTGAGGCGGCGGTGCAACTGGTCCTCCAAGCTGGTGCTGATGCTGATGCTGATGCTGTTCCAATTCCAAGTCCAGTTCCAACGGTGGCGGAGGAGGCGGTGGGTGAGAATTACCAGCTGCAGCAGCCACTATGTGTTCCGGCAACAGGCCAAGCTGCTCCAACGGCTGTCCACCGATGGTGGGAATTTGTATGGCTTCCAGATTCACTTGAGGCTTTGGTATCGCAGTCAAGTCAAAGTCCTTTGGTGGCGGAATGGCATTCAGTTGCATGCCCTCAACGGGCCCTGGTCCAAGTTGCATGTAAATTTGACCCATATTGGTCAGGGCCATGGGCATCTGTGGGGGTGGAGGTGGCGGCGGTGGTGCAACGGCCGCCGGATGCAGCTGCATGGGCAGATGGCCATGGAAGAAGGCCGGCATTTGCATGGTCTGCATTTGTGGTGGTCCCTGTGGCATCAGTGGCTGATTGAATGGATTGAATGGTGGTGGTGGCGGTGCCGACACTGCCATGCTAAACGCTAGATGACTGCTTGCCGTGCTGGTCACAGTGATGCTGCAGGGCATGGAGGTGGCAATGTTCGCAGCGGAGCTGCTGATCCCAATGGGCATTGAGTCCATCTGTGGATTGTTGTCCTCGCCACCCGAATTATTGTCATCATTGCTGCAAATTAAGGGTAACTCTTAGGAGAAGGCCACTCCTGGGGCATTCACTGTTTTACTCACCTGAGCCTTGGATTTGGTATCATAATGGGTGCTGGTGGCTTTTCATGTTTCTCGAGGATTTTCTTAAAGTTCTCCAAAAACGAGCCATCATTGCAGAATGTGTTCTGCACTTTGGGTGGCGGCTGTTCTACACTGGGCTGTGGCAGCTGCTGGCGCTTCAGGCCAAACGAGATTTTGCCAGTCTTGCTCGTAAAGCTGTTAAGCGTACTCTTGGGCGTAGTCGCGTCATCAGTTTTCCCCTTTCCAGCTGTCGTCTCGCTGCTCCCCGCCTCCAGGCCATTGCCATCTTCAGTTGGGGCAGCTGCGCTAGATGTCGGTGTTATGTCCACCGGTAGCGGGGGCTCCTCCTCGACCTCTTCTTCGACTGCAATGGGGGGTGTCTGTGGTGGTGCTTCTGTGGTCTTGAGTTGCGCCTGCAAATTTTGTGCCGCAGCCACCGCCTTGGCCAGTTGGGCTGTGCGTTGCTTCTCGAGTATTTCCTGGCGCTTCTTGGCTATTATCTCCTCCTGCTTGGACATTTGAGCAAATCGATCGACTCGGGGATGATTGCGTTGGGCCATTTTTTCTTTTTATTTTATTATTTTTATTCCTTTCGATCGACAAACAGTGTGACCGTAGATTTATCGATAAATTATGCCGCCTAACCCTCTGAAATATACCAAAAAGTACCTTGTCACTATCAAAATATACCGTAAATATACGGACGGACACAAAAAGATGCATTGATATTCCTCGATTTTCATATTCGGCTTAATATTACTAGCTAGTTTGCCCACTTAGCCCAAAAAAAATTATTTTATCCAATTCCTCAACAAATAATTTTGTACAAGATTTGGCTAGTTTTTAGTATTCTATCCAAGGTCAAGGCCCAGGCGCCGGGCGCCTTCCGAACTCCACGGACTGGATTGCTTTGCTTCACGTAACAGCTGTTTTGTCGGTCTTAATTGAGATGGTCAACTCAGGAGTTGAAGGAGTTGGAAAAATAATCGAAAACCATCTCCAATATATCGGAATTTTTGAGCACTGAATGGAGTTTGGCGGTCAATTTGAAAAGTACTTTAATATAACTTAAAAAATATATTGGGACTTGATTATATATATACTTTTATATACCGTTCGTAAATATAATTTGAACTCGTCAAAATATCCAGAAAATTAGATAATATACTGTAAACGGTTACCCGGTCGACAATTTTCAGCAGGAAAGTACTATTAAACGTTGTTTAACACTAAAGTCGATACACAAAACTATTATTGTATCGAATATATATATCGATATTTCTATCGAGTACAGTTTTTGGCTGTTAAAGTGGATTTTAAATATTTAAATGATTAAAACCTTTTTAATAGTTATTATACGCCAGACAACTAACAAGAATGAAATGCCCAACTCTCTTGTTTGGTTTGGAACAAACAGCGGAACCTTCCACTGCGATGAGGTTTTATTAAATTCATTTTTCAAAATTCCATGACAACTAACAATGGCGTTAAATGGGGTTATTTATACATACATAGATATTTTTCAAATACATTTGGATATATAGCAAACCTGTGTATATTTTGAATACAACACCAATTAGTCGAAACTTTCTAGCAACACATTTATCTTTGGCAGTGTTCAAAGTAATGGAACAATTCATATATGTTTTTGAAATATATCATCAAAGTTTTAGTTTGGACAAATTCGGTTAAGTCACTTTAGGAGAAACACTTTGTAAATAGTAGTACTAAATCTGAATAAATTGACCTAAATGCGCCTAAAAATACAAATTGTTAATAGCTCGAGTATATATGGTATGTGGGAGGGGTACGAGGAATAAGTAAGTTCGCATTATATGAGAATTCCATTCTTCTTCCATTCGTATAACTAGTGGTACTTGGGTAATATCAATCCTTTCAGCATATCAAAGCTATTTCCATCCGGTTGTACAGTTTCGATGGTACCAGTGGGTAGTCTCACCTTCAAGAAGCCAAAGTCGTCGATTCCTATTATTTCCGCATCTTTTTCCTGTTCGTTCTGCAGGCAAATCTTAACAGTTTGTCCGCTGCAAATAATATCTTTCTTAAGCAATGTATACATATATCAGAAACTATGGACTTACCTATGAAGCCATATGGAGTAGTATAAGGCATAAAAACTTTTAAAATCTCCATTCTGTACTTCAGCTAAGAGTCTTTCGATTTCATTAAATATCATGGCTATAAATTGCTCATATTTAAGCAAAGGTAGTTTATTAAGGGCCGCCGCATTATTATTATGCTCCCGTATCATATCGTTAATGCAAAGGGTGGGCTTTGAATTGTTTAAATTGATTCCGCTGCCGATATTAACAATTGCCTGGGAGCCCAACAAAGTGGTATTGACGACCAGTCCACCAATTTTAATATTTCCATGTGCATAGATATCGTTTGGCCATTTAAGAGATATGTCGAGTACCTGAAAGTAAACATTAAATATAAGACATGTATATATGTATGTAAGCTTCGCAGAATTATAGCTTCGGACTTCAATCCGTCTTTTTTTTCGTCGGTATATTTACGGTATATTTAAAAAATGATAAGGTATATTTCTAAAGGTCAGACGGTTTATTTTATCGGTAAGTCCGCGGTCACACTGAGCGCAGCGAATGGTGTAGAGAAATTTCGTGAAACTATAAAAATTATCGCATTTTTCGCATAGGCCAATGCTGTCTAGAGCTGCGGGCGTGTGTGTGTGAGCGCTGGAACAACGACAACGAACCAGAAGGTTGACAAAAACGCTACAGAATGTGGAGCAAAGCCCCAGAAAATCGTGCCATCATCCAATATCAGTGAGTGCGCGTCTGAAAAAATCATTCGGGGATTTTTGTTGCAGGGCGGCCGTCGTACCAACAACAAAATGAGCAGCGCCGCCCAGCTGACGACGTCGGGAGTCAGCAACAACAATGCCACTGACTCCAGCTCCAATGCCAATGCCAACGAGTCCGGCTCCAGCGACAGCAACCTAATCATTATCCAGGACATGATTGATCTCTCGGCCAACCATTTGGAGGGTCTGCGCACCCAGTGCGCCACCAGTTCGATGCTGACGCAACAGGAGATACGCTGCCTGGAGTCCAAGCTGGTGCGCTACTTCTCCGAGCTGCTGCTGACCAAGATACGGCTCAACGAACGCATCCCGGCCAATGGTCTTCTGCCCCATGCCACGGGCAACGAGCTGAAGCAATGGCTGCGCGTGGTTGGCCTCAGCCAGGAGTCGCTGAGTGTGTGTCTGACCAGGCTGACGACATTGGAGCAGACGCTACAGCTCAGCGATGAGGAGCTCAAGCAGATGCTGGCCGAGAATCCCAACCAGCGGGAGGAGGAGTTGCGTCGCCTGACCAGGGCCATGCAGAATCTCCGCAAATGCATGGACACGCTGGAGGCCAATACGGCCAGCAACAACGACCCGGAGCAATGGCACTGGGACTCGTGGGACCGACCCATACACATCCATCGGGGTAGTGTGGGGAATATTGGCCTGGGCCTGGGTCTGAACACCGCCTCACCGCGGGCCCATCACCGACAGCATGGCACTAAGGGGAAGAGTGGAAGCAATGCCTCCACCTCGCGCAGTGGCCGCCAATCGCCCACATCAATGCCGGCGACAACAACGGAGGATATGACAAGCAGCACGCAGGGTTCTCAAATGACTCTAACGCTGACGCCGTCGCCACCCAACTCCCCCTTCACACCCTCCAGTGGGACGGCTATGAGCAGCAGTCTGAATGGCACACCACAGAGGAGTCGCGGCAGCGGCACCCCACCGCCCGCCAGGAAGCACAAGACGACCCTGTTCAACCAGGCGGCTGGGGCGGGGGATATTGAGCCGCCAGCGCCACCGCGCAATCGCCTGCCCACAGACCCCAGTCCGGACAGCCACAGCTCGGCCAGTTCGGAAATATTTGGCGAGAGTAGCAACAGCAATCCATTGGCTTCCATTGGGAATTCCTCGAATGTCCTGCTAGTGCCATGCTCCCCCGGCGTGGGCCCCGTCGGGATGGGGCACACCATCAAGCATCGGTTCAAGAAGAAAGCGCTTGGATTGATGGCCACCTGCACATTGTGCCAAAAACAGGTATTCTCCAGCTGGCTCAAGTGCATCGACTGCAAGTTCATTTGCCACAAAAACTGTGCCCCCCATGTGCCACCCTCGTGCGGATTGCCCCGCGAATATGTGGACGAGTTTCGGCACATTAAGGAGCAGCAGGGCGGCTACTCCACCCTACCGCATGTGCATGCCTCGAGCAAGGGATCGCCGCTAGTGAAGAAGAGCACCCTGCACAAACCACTGCAGCAGCATCATGGCGACAGCAGCTCGCCCAGTTCCAGCTGCACCAACTCCACGCCCAGCAGTCCGGCTCTGTTCCATCAGCGCGAACGGGAACGAGACCAACAGGACCAGGCTGGCAGCTATGGCGGCTCTTCGGCCGGCGGCGGCAGCAGTTCCAGTGCCAATCTCCTGCTTACGCCCTCTCTCACCAAGCACCATCAGCAGCAAAGTCAATTCAACTTCCCCAATGTGACCATCACCAGCAGCAGCGGTGGTGGCAGCGGAGGAAACGGCGGCAATGCCTCGCACAATGTGCAAACCCTCATCTCCAACGAGAACCTGTTGGAATATCCGGCGGCTCCCCCTTCGGTGGCAAACAGCATGAACGGAGGAGGATTAATAGACAGCCTGGTGAACAGCTCCAATGGGCACATCAGCTCGCTCATCCACAGCCAAGTGTCGAATGCCTCGAATGCCACAGCCAGTCTCGTGAACTCCACGACCACCACAAGCACTACGAGCAGCTTCTTTCCACGCAAACTCAGCACGGCGGGCGTGGACAAGCGGACGCCCTTCACAAGCGAGTACACGGACACTCACAAGTCGAACGACAGCGATAAGACCGTTTCGCTGACGGGCAGTGCCAGCACAGACTCGGATCGCACGCCCGTGCGTCTGGACTCAACGGAGGATGCGGACTCGGGCCAGTGGCGACAGAACTCCATATCACTGAAAGAGTGGGACATACCCTATGGGGATCTGCGGCTGTTGGAGCGAATTGGCCAGGGGCGCTTTGGCACCGTACACCGAGCGCTGTGGCACGGCGATGTGGCGGTGAAACTGCTCAACGAGGACTACCTGCAGGACGAGCATATGCTGGAGACGTTTCGCAACGAGGTGGCCAATTTCAAGAAAACACGACACGAGAATCTGGTGCTCTTTATGGGCGCCTGCATGAATCCGCCGTACCTGGCCATTGTCACATCGCTGTGCAAGGGCAACACCCTGTTCACGTACATTCATCAGCGGCGTGAGAAGTTCGCCATGAACCGGACGCTGGTTATTGCCCAGCAGATAGCCCAGGGCATGGGCTATCTGCACGCCCGAGACATCATACACAAGGATCTGCGCACCAAGAACATATTCATCGAGAACGGCAAGGTGATCATCACGGACTTTGGCCTGTTCAGCTCCACCAAACTGCTGTACTGTGATATAGGCTTAGGAGTACCCCACAACTGGTTGTGCTACATGGCCCCGGAGCTGATACGCGCCCTCATGCCCGAGAAGCCCAAGGGCGAGTGCCTGCAGTTCACCTACTACTCGGATGTGTACTCGTTCGGTACCGTCTGGTATGAGTTGATTTGCGGCGAGTTTACGTTCAAGGATCAGCCGGCCGAATCGATTATATGGCAGGTGGGACGCGGCATGAAGCAGTCGCTGGCCAATCTTCAGTCTGGCCGTGAGGTCAAGGATCTGCTGATGCTGTGCTGGGCCTACGAGAAGGAGCAACGCCCCCGGTTTGCCCAACTCCTGTACAAGCTGGAGCAATTGCCCAAGAAGCGACTGGCAAGGAGTCCCTCGCATCCCGTCAATCTATCTCGCTCCGCGGAGTCTGTGTTCTGAGGCGGGCCAACAACAACAGCTTGGGTTTGGGCTTGGGTTCTATTAACTATTGCAACTACCACTACAACTACTACGAGTATCTAGTACAATTAAAGAGTACCATTTCAATGTAAGCTGCTGCTCTGCTGTGTAAAAAATGTCAAATGTCTGTCTCGCCCACTCCTTTACGAGTATGTATCCCCTCCTCTATACAAGGACTCTCTTAACTCTCCACAACTCTTAAACAAGTTAAAAAATATATGCAAAAAATGCCTGCGTTAAGCAAATATTGCAAATATGTACTACCTAAAACTTAAATCATACATATATAAATATCAAAGAAGAAACTAAAAATTATAGCAAAACCGATTTTAAAATTTAAAAACTTATACAATATATTGAATGCAGAACAGAAAAGAAAAGAAAGGAGAGAAGAGATGAAAAGCAGGAAAAACACAAAATGTTAACTTTGAAAAAGACAAAACCAAGTTCAAATTGTTTAAAGAGCCAACAAAAATTGGGATACAAGTATAGAAAAAGTATATATGTAGTAGGATCTAAAGTATGTAAATCGAAAGAGAAGAGGAGGAGCACTGTGTGGCAAAAATATCTAAATATAAAATGTTAAAATCAGGTGAGCAATTTCTAAATTGTTAATTATGTGTAAGCAAAGCTATATTCTATCGATATATACATATATGTACATATATCTATGAATATATGTATAATGATATAAGTACATACATATGTACGTATGTGTGTGTACATACAAGTATATGTATATGAGAGATACTAGTGTTTAAATCAAATATTGTGCAGAAATGTAAATGTAAATAGCAAACGGAGTTTAAATGCAAAATTAAGCATAAATGTCAAATAAACTTATCACTAAACCAAATTGTAATCAACTTAAGTTCTTTTGTTTAAGGTGGGAAGGTCAGATGTTGGGTATTTAATCTAGAAGTTATAGACAATTGTGGCAGCATAAATGAGCTGTTTAAACAGCGACGTTTCTTCGTCTCATTATCTCGCACTTTTTCATTCGCTTACGACTAGCAGCAGCATCCAACCTCCTCTCGCACTCTATTTCTCTCCACATCTCGCTGTTCCATCGCTTTCGTCTAACACCAGCACGAAACTTCTCCTCGGTAACAACTACCAAAAAAAACAACTTACTAGCTTCATAGTTTTCGACATTCGTACTTAGTAATCGTAGTAATCTTCCTAATATCGTCTATAATGGTTTACTTTTGATAAAAGGTATTTCTTGTCAGGAGAAGTTCTAGGAATATTGTGAATGTTTAGGGACTGGATTTAGAGTTTCATTTTACACATGTAAACACATATTTTTATGTTCCTTAATACCTCAGGATTACCATTTATCGAGATTTATTCTTCAACAACCGAGGGCAGACGCATAAGCGAAATGTGCAAAAGAGAATGCCCGAGAATGAAGAAGCTGTTTTCGGGCCCAGAATCCAATAGCGAAATACATTCCGGGAGTAGTGAATGGGAATGGAAAAACAAAAAACTTGACAACTGCTCGACTCAGTTTTTTTTTTTTTGCTGTTGGACTCATTTTCTGTTTCAGAATTCAAAAACCATACCCACAGGTGCTCCAAAATATATTTATGTATGTATCACTCACCCCGTATATTGGATGACCCCTTAAGGTATTAACAATGGCAGTTCCAATCAGGTGCTGGATCAGAGGCAAACGAGATCCCAGTGGCGAATCCATGGCTATATGGAGTTGCAGGGAGAACATGGCACAACCCAGAGGACTAAGCCACTGAAAAATAGAAATAGAAATAGAAAATAAGCAATCAGACTTACTAGATATTTTTAGAAGGCAAAACTATTCGCACCTGATTGTTGCTGCGACCAACGCCGGCAGTCTGCTCAATGGGCAGCACGGCCAAGCCGTTGATGAGCTCCAGATTATTGATCACATGCATGGAACTGCTAACGACAGGCGCATAGATGACCAGACGACCAATGTCCTCCGTTTGCAAATGCTACAAGTATAATTTTAAGATTAATACTAGCTCTGATGATAATAATGCAGATACATATTCAACGCACATCAAAGTAAGCAACGGTGGAGAAATCGTCTGGACAGGAATGTATGAGTATAGGCAGGACATTGTTGTTGGCCACAGGCGGCTTATCATCCTTGCCACAGAATTTCATAGTCAAATTGGGCGTGGCTATGACATTATCGGGGCCACTGCAGCGCAGGAGCAACTTATCGAGAAGTTCAAATTTGGACTACAAGAAGAGAACAGAATTTTTGTAATAAATGAAAAAGGAAACCCCGTACAACTGCTCACCTCATGGCGTCCCAGGAAATAGGCCTGCTTGTATACCACTCCTGGCTGTGACTGGCCTACACCTACGCCTTCATCTGCCTTAACGACCTGCACATCCAAGTATTTACTCAAGAGATCCGCAAAGATCTCCAGACGAGTGCGTTCGTATTGCTTTAAGATGGAGTATTTGATCTCATCCCCTTCAAACTCACTGGGATTTGTCTCCAAATGAATCTGTTAATAGAGAAACTATATAATATGGAGGAATCAAGAGGAAGATGGGAGTATAATCCTACCTGCGAGAAGACGGCCTTGCCTCCGCTCTTCAGGCTATTGGCCAGCAATAGACTGGGCGTGTTCCAGGTCTCCTCAGTGCCCAGCACTTGAACATCCAATTTGTGGCTATGGCCGGCCAGATCTTTCAGTTCCATGGACCTTGGACATACTAGAGCTCTGAGCAGCGTTTCGTTTTTTTGTTTTATGGTTTTCGGTTTATGTTTTTTTTTGTATTTTATTTTGGTTAATGGTAGGTAGGATTATAATAGTGATAGCACACACATATAGGAAGCACACAGAGATAGAGAATGGGCAAGGGCAGGAAGAGCGATCGATCACACAGGCACGCAGAAAGAATATAGAAAGGAAAGGGAAATTTCAAGCAGTAACAAATAAAATAACCCAATTTATAAAGAGATTTTTGTATTTTAATTCATTCAAAGATTTTGGAGGAAAGTTAAGATAAAATATTATTAGAAGAAATTCGTTTAAATAGGAACAATTTGACCAGGAAAATACGAGTATGAAATGATGATCGGAATGCACATCGAATACAATAGAAAAGAAGCCAAATACATATAGAATTGAAGCCAATTTGAGCCATGAAAACATTTGAGAAACAATACATAAGAATTGGAATTAGTAGGAAATTGCTTATTATTAGCAGGATTATTATATCAATTCTCCTAGGGATTCTCCACATATTAGAACTTATAGAATCGATTGGTTTTAATTAGCAGTGACCTACACAGCACTATGGGAAAAATTCGTCGTTTTTTTTTACATTTATGCTACATTTTAAGATAGCGACTGAAGAATATTAGTAATAATAAAATTAATTATTTATATTTTATAAATTAACAAAAGAATATCAAAATTTAATTTTTAGTTTGAATTTTTAAATTAAAATTTTTACTTTTAAAGTTAAAAAATGTGTGCTGTTATCTGAATTAATGATTTAGCCTGTCATTTTCCATATTTAAATGGTATCGCTGTTTGATCTTGCGATTTTTCACTAAATATTGACACGCTAAATTGGTAAGACTTTGATCGATCAATATTTGAAAAAATAATATTAATATTATATAATATATATTATATATATATATATTTTTATTAAAGTTATTTCAAAACAAAAAAAATTTTGAACAATTCATAAACTACAAAAATGTTACAAATTTATGGCAAAAGAATTCTAATTTTTCCCATAGTGAACTGTAGCCCCCCTTTCAATAGTGCGCCTGCAGTTATGCAGTGGAAAAGCAATTTGCTTTTAATTTGTGGGTGTATAAAACATGCAATATAGTAGAGTATATTATATATGCTCTTTGATTATGGTTATTGGTGGTACTTTTGTCAATATTAGCTACAAGTTTCGAGATCTTCAGTCTGCATGGGGATTAGCTTTCTTCTCAGTGTATTTTATGGCAACAGTCTTACTTACGGTCTACGGGAATGCGACTTGGCCGACTCCTCGCTGTCTGTGGAAAAGTGCTTCTTCACTGGCGATGGCTGATAGCAGAAGATGTGGTGCATCATCTTGACCCGCTGCCATTTGTCATAGGAGAACTGTACCAATTCGTGCTCACGAACCTGCCAAAAGAAACAAAGCAATTACTATAGACTGGAATAGAACTCAATAGAATAATACTCAAAAAATCTTACCTCCGCTGTGCGATAGTTGGGCAGAATAAAGTGTAGTATATCCGAGCAGAGGCTTAGCACCTTGCCGCCATGCAGAAAGTAATCCACGAGTATCTGTCCAATCGCGGGCGAAACCGAGCCGCACACCACCAGCAGCGCTGTCTGTTCTGTCCAATGCTTTTGGGCTGCCTGCTGCGGCATCAGCGGATAAATGGTGTACACATTCCGCTCGAGCAGCTGCTGCAGCGTGGCCAGCGTGGAGTCCCTGGCACTGGCGCTGTCCGAGTAGACCAATACATTCAGAGGCTTGCTCTCCTGCAGGCTATTCTTATTGCGCCGCAGCACGGGACGTGCAGCAGGAGTGGTAGCTGGCGGTGAAATGGGAGCCACCACCTCAAAGGTCTTCGCTGGCTTCACGGCCTCCACAATAATGGATGGCTGAGCGGCCTCAACCGTAATGGATGATGGCTTTACAGCCTCAACCAGTTTGCTGGGAGTCCTCGAAGCCGGAGCTTTAGTCGGAGCTTTAGCCGGAGTCCCATCGACGGATGTCCTCTGAATCTGGGCTGCCTGTGCAGCGGCCAGTTTCTCCAGCTCGCTTTGGGGGTTAGCTGCTTGCGAGGCTTCACTTTTGGTTGGTGTTGCTTTGGCTTCGCTTTTGGCTGGCGTGGATTTATTCTCGCTTTTAGCTGGCGTGGACTTGTCCTCGCTTTTATCGGGAGTTGACTGGGCTTCGTTTTTGGCTGAAGATAGTTTTGAATCGATTTTAATTGGAGTGATCTTTGTCTCGCTCTTGGCAAATGATGACAGAGCGGCCTCACTCTTGGCGGGACTCGAAGTGCCCCTGGCCGGGGACAAGGCCGCTGCTTTATTGGGCGTGGGTTCCACCACAGCCACGGCCTTGGCCACGACGGTGTGCTCTAGTGTCTGGGCAAGAAGATCTGGTTTTATAACCCCCGTCTTGCCCTCGGTGCGATTCTTTTGGTGCTCAAACTCAGTGGCCTGATGGGCCAGCACACTGACAGCACGCAAATCCTCCAAGTGCTTCTTCCAGCCTTCCTTGTCCAGGTCAGCGGTGGTGCGGGACTGCCGCTTCAGATGCTTAGCCAACAGCTCAAATGGCTGTGGATCGCCGGACCGCAAAACAGCTGCAATATTCGAGAGAAACATTTATTAATGGAGAGTTAGATGGGGTTTCTGGGAGTATGAATGATGATGATTTCTGTTTTCCGCTTACACTCAATCCTCATCAGGGGCAGGTCATCGTTTATGCATAAATTATTTCGTAAAAATGTCGCTATCAACAGTTGGGTAAAGTGCTCCACATCGGTCTCGATGAGCAACGCCAGGTGGGAGTCTATTTTCCAAGCAATTAGCTTACCATAATCTTCCAACTGATGAACGCCAAGGCCATGGGACAGGTCACAGGTCGCAGGTCGCGGGTCATGCAAGCAAAAGAATGAGAGATGAAACATAACAGAGAATATATGACGCCAGCTTTCTATATCGATTTAACTGCTCTAGGTATGGGTTATATGTACATCCTAATCACATTACCGCACGCACTGCCACCACCCACCACGACCAGAAGGGCTGTGGCCATAAAACTATTTAGTTTATGATTTGCAAAACCAAAACGGAGAACGGAGGATACCCTATTGACCTACCCGCACCGCTATGGTGTGCAGGGCGCTCTCCTTTTGCCCCGGCTCCACCTGTGCCTCCAAAAGCAGCTGCATCAGCTGCTCCTTGTCCGTTGAGAGTGTCACTCGCTGTTTGGGAGGCGCGAGCGATGGCTCCGTTGGCGTGGTCGCCGGCGTTAAGATGTCGGCGGCATAGGCAAACGGCAGCAGGCCCGGAGCCGCCGGAAAGCTTATCCACGGCGTGATATGGAGCGTCTGCAGTGGTCGCAGGCAGCAGCCATGCTGGTTTCCATGCAACCACAAAATGTCCGTGACCTTGGCCGCATTACGATTGCCGCACAACTCGGAGCTGGCGAATGAGGGATCTGCAATGGGGAGTGAGAATTAGCTAATGATCCGATTGGGATTGGAAGATGTCATCCGATTTTCTCACCAAAGCCATCATCGCTGCCCGCTGGCAGGGCATAAAAAGCAATGCTCGAGGGCTGTGCCAGATGCTCGGCGATTTTGTTGCAAACCTTTTGGATGCGCCAGGATTGCAGGACGGTGGCACTCACGTAATACAGGGTCAACATTTTATGGTTTAACGTCTCTCTATGCTCTCTATGCCATTTGACAGTGAAAATCAATGTGCGGTTTCGTAATTTCCTTCGACAAAGAAGCAGCGAAGGCAGCGGTTGCTATGTCCACGGCCCCAAGGAAGTGTTTTACAGCTAAATTGACACACTTTTTGCACTCCTTTGCGCCCACTGACATTTATTGTTGATTACTGCATTCCACTTCCATACACCACACACACACCCCCATACATTTGGGAGCTTTATCACACAGAACAGAGCGAAAAGTTGTTTGGTTTGGGGCAGTGCTGTCGATTCCGCTTTTTTACCGCAAATCTGGCTGTTTTTGCGGGAAGCAGGAATTCTTGATTTTTTAGAAAAGCGTTTAGCAGTTTACCGATTTTTTTAATGTTGGCAGGTTTGCTGTAAATTTTAAGCAAACCATCATCTCTTTGCCAAATTTGGATTTTCGAAATGCCAAAAGACCATATGTTTAAGTGCCACGCTTCTTGGCTAAAAAGCGAAGAATTCAAGGCTTGGATACGTAAGGAAGACGCAGATGAGCATTCTGTGCATAAGGTATGAAGAGTTCATGGAGCTAATACTGTAAAAACACTAAATTAGTGAACCCATATATTACGCTTTTTCAAATACTTTTTTCTGTAATTTTTCAGCTTTTTTTGTCTCTTGTCCAAGCTAGAAACGGCTTTTTTACCTGATGAAAAGTTGGCAGCACTGGTTTTGGGGGCAAAGTTGTTTTCATTTTAACAAGTCATTTACTAGCGTGTTTTTTGCCGCGTTAATTAGTTATTTCAGTTTTTAAGCAAAGGGCGGCATGCTGTTGGGCGAATACGACACAACGCGACGACTCTTGTTTATCGTGGCTGTTTTGGTTTTAATTTTATATGCGAAAACGTACCTGCTACCCGGCGTCGACCTGGATTACGATTAGTAGTTAGCATACCCCGCCACAGCAGCAGCATCAGCAGCAGCGCCTCCAGCACCGCACCCAAGTGATGACAGATCGAAGGGTATCCTACTTCTATAACGCCGATGTGGGTAACTTTCATTATGGCGCGGGACATCCGATGAAGCCGCAGCGTCTGGCCGTGACCCATAGTCTGGTCATGAACTATGGCCTTGACAAGAAAATGAAGATCTACAGGCCGTACAAGTGAGTGACTACAGACCAACGAAGCTTGGGCTAAGACTAATCACCTCCCCTCCCCCTCGGACGTTTTCAGAGCCAGCGCCCAGGATATGCTCAGGTTTCACAGTGACGAGTACATAGCCTACCTGCAGCAAGTGACGCCCCAGAACATTCAGTGCAATTGTAAGCTTAATTAAAAATAAGCTAAATACCTGCAAAATCTATATGCCATTGCTCTCTTCTAGCTGTCGCCTATACCAAGTACCTGGCGCACTTTAGTGTGGGCGAGGATTGTCCTGTGTTCGATGGCCTCTTTGACTTTTGCGCCATGTACACGGGCGCATCGCTGGAGGGTGCCCAGAAACTGAATCACAATCATAGCGACATCTGCATCAACTGGTCGGGCGGCCTACACCATGCCAAAAAGTTCGAGGCATCGGGTTTCTGCTATGTAAACGACATCGTGATTGGCATTCTGGAGCTGCTGAAGTACCATCCTCGTGTGCTCTACATTGACATCGATGTGCATCATGGGGATGGGGTGCAGGAGGCCTTCTATCTCACAGATCGCGTGATGACGGCCTCGTTTCACAAGTACGGGAATTACTTCTTTCCCGGCACGGGCGACATGTATGAGCTGGGGGCGGAGTCTGGTCGATACTACAGCGTGAATGTGCCGCTCAAGGAGGGCATTGACGATCAGAGCTACTTCCAGGTCTTCAAACCGATCATCTCAGCCATCATGGACTTCTATCGGCCCACGGCAATCGTCCTGCAATGCGGCGCAGACTCACTGGCGGGCGATCGTCTGGGCTGCTTCTCGCTGAGTACGCGGGGCCATGGCGAGTGCGTGAAGTTTGTCAAGGAACTGAATGTGCCCACGTTGGTGGTGGGTGGCGGCGGCTATACGCTACGCAACGTGGCCCGCTGCTGGACGCACGAGACCTCGCTGCTGGTGGATCAGGACATTGACAACGATCTGCCCGTCACGGAGTACTACGAGTTCTTCGGGCCTGACTTTACCCTACATCCAGAGATTAACTCGCGGCAGGACAATGCCAATTCGAAACAGTATTTGGAGATGATTGTGAAGCATGTCTATGAGAACCTGAAAATGTGCCAGCACTCGCCTAGCGTACAGATGGTGCAGACGCCGCCCGATATGGATATCGAGGAGCTGCGTAACAAGGAGGAAACGGATCCCGATGTACGGATATCTCAAACCGATGATGACAAAAGTGTGGAGGCGAAGAACGAGTTCTACGATGGGGATCAGGATCAGGACAAGCCTGATTCGGCGGAGAGTTGAATTAACTTACTTATGTGCTAGTCTAAGGATGCGAATAAGTCAAGAACAACCACAGTAATACACAGTAACAGACTACAATTAGATTTTAAAATCGACAGACACACGTGTATTTGAGTTTCGGGATTGTGGGATTGGATTACTTCTTACGGGGCGAGGCGGGGCGATAATTATAATGATATTAGGTTTAGGAATTCGATTTGGATGGTTGACGAGGATAATCACCAACCGGTTGTGGTGTTGGCCAGTCGTCGCATACGCCGCGTATTCCTGTCTTGATCTCGGATCTTCTTCTCCATCTCGGCATCGGTTAGCGTCTCTAGGAATGGGGCCCACGCATCCGCGTCGCTGGGATTCCGGAATGGCACATCGATGGTGGACAGGGGTGCCTCGCTGAAGGCGTATGTGCGACAGTGCCACGACAACTGGCCACGTATACTATATGCTATGGCCGTCACAAACTCTCCACCCAATCCCAGCTCGGCACAGAGCTTAATGGCAAACTCCTCCGGATTGTTGTTCTTCTCGGACATGTCCCACTCGACCTGATCGACGAGCGACGTGTTGCCCACGTGTATGTTGAGCTTGACTATGACACGCTGGTCACAGCTCTCCTCCAGAATGGGCGGATCGTTTGGAAACGCCTCAATCTGCTGGCGGATGGCCTGAGCGATGGCTGGCACAAAGGGCAGGGGATTCAGGTCCAGATCATCACAGAGTACTTCGGCAAACTGCTCGGGCGTGATCATGCTCTCGTTCTTGTTCCAGGTGAAGGTGTCACGCAGCTTCTGTCCCTCAAGCTCCATATCCAGGCGTATGGGCACCAGGCATTCCTTCTGTGCAGCATTCTCCAGACTCGCCGTCGGGTCCGTGTCGTCAAAGCACATGGGGAATGTGCGCACCTTCTTAGTGTGCACCCGATTCCGGTTGATGGGCGTGGCCTGCGGCACGGCATCCAAGTGGCTGGAATTGGGCATCGTCGGCACATACTGTGGCTGCTTCTTGGATTTACTCTCACGCGGCACAGGCGTGTCGGAGGTGTTTACCGAAACGGCACGATATCTGGAACGGGCATTCATTAGTAATCTCGGACTCTGACAGTGAAAGTTCCCAGGGTCGATTAACTTACTTCTCGTCATTGCCAGCCATAATGTCGTCCACTTCGACCGCTCGCAGCAACGAGACGGAACTAGCCAAAATGTGTGAACTAAGGCCAGAGTCGGCCAGTCGCTTGCGCTCCTCATTGGACAGGACAATGCGCGTCATGCCGGGATACTTCTTGTAGAGGATGCCACGGAAGTGGCGCATGTAATTGCCCACCTCGGAGCCCACATAGTAGTACTCGCCGCCCTCCTCCAGTTGGAAGGCCACCGGCTTATCACCGTATGTCTGCAGAGCCATCTTAAGTATACTCGGAAAATCGGCAGTCTTGGTTTCTTCTTATTTATGTTTTGCAAATTTTCAGAAAACAAATTTTCATGCCGCATACACACACACACACAGCTATGGACATTAGAGGTGTCAAACCATCGAGGGCACTATCGATAGTATCGGTATTTTACTGCTAGCCTCTACTATCGACGGTTTTGCGACTATCATGATAGTATCGAGCTACAGTCGTTGCGCTTTTGATATGTTTGGATTGACTGCTATAAAATACGAAGACACATTTGTAGACAAATCGACAGGTGGCATCTAATTTTTACAATGGACAAGTTCCTAAAGGGTTTCAATGGTTTTTTAATATTTATTTGAGCCCGATACTATCACGATAGTATTGATTGTTTTTTTTTGTCAACAATTTTAAAACTATCGATGGCTCAACTATCAATCGTATGCCAGCTCTAATACACACACACACACACACAGCCATGGACATGGCGTCTTTCCCGTGAGTGTTGGAAAGCGCTGCAGTCGCGGTGGTTGCGTAGCAGTAGATACGTTTCGGTATATTTCTGAGCGTCAGGTATATTTACGGTATATATTCCTTATTATCTGAATTTATCTGTATTAATTATAAAAATTAATTAATTATAAATGTTCCTTAACTGTATTAATTATTATAAAAATTAATTAATTATAAATGTTCCTTAATAGACCAGATTTTCAAAACAAATTTTATGAAATTGTAACAAAACAATACTAAAATAGCGCCCCATACGATTTTGAAAACATTTTGTTTGAGATTGTAACAAAAAAATACCATGCAAATAAAAACAATTATTCAACTCACCCGTTTAAATAGAGGGGGCTATGTGGGCTAAGTTCGTTTTTTTCCTCGGTATATTTACGGTATTTCTGAGGGTCAGTATATACCGGTCACACTGTTAACGTCGCTTTTTCCAATTTTTAATTTTCCTCAGAAATGTCCTTTTTTCGCGGTGTAGCCTGTGCTCTGGTGCTTGCCAGGCCCCTCAATAGTGTGCGCACAGGTATGTCTCTTCGATTGGGCCGAGTTTATACAGTAATCAAGTTTATTTTGGCAGTGCAAACACGCCGTCACATCAAGCGCTGGGTCGCGCCGACGTTACGTGAACTCGCGCATCGCCAACAGAAACAAGGACCCCAGAAGCCGGAGCCCCGCGCCGGCTATGTCGAGTGGAACTACCGGTCGGAACTGTTTGCCTTTGGCAAGCGACTGGGCGAGAACTTTGAGCTGCCGCTGCTGCAGGAGGCCTTCACGCAGCGGTCGTATGCCCACCGGGAGGAAGAGAAGCAGCGAAAACTGGGCATTGAAGAAGCGGATCTAAAAATATCCGATAATCGTCAGTTGGCCAAGATGGGTGGCCACATTGCCAGGGCCTATGTGGAGGCCTTTCTGAAACAGTCGCTGCCAAAGGTTCCAAGGGAAGGACAGGATGCCATTGCAAGCTATTTGTTGAGCACAGAGACACTGGCCAATGTGTCGTCGCATCTGGGAACCAAAGATCTCATCTTCACCACAGAATACCCGCCTTCCCCCGAGAGCCTGGCTGAATCCCTTCAGGCGGTGATTGGAGCTCTGGCAGATTCCAGTGGCGTAGTGCGGGCCTTCCTGTTCGTCAGAGACTTTATCTGCACGCAATTGAACCAGAAGGATATGCTGGATCTGTGGACACCCAAGCAGCCACTGCAATTGCTCGACGAGATCTGCCAGCAGCGTAAACTGGGGGAGGTGGAGCCCCGTCTGCTGGGGGACTGCGGCAAAAACACAGTACTGGCTGCTTATCACGTGGGTATCTACGCAAATCGCCAGCTGCTGGGCAAGGGCTTTGGCGAGGATGTATCGACAGCCACAGAAACGGCGGCTTTGGATGCGCTGCAAAGTCTCTTCGATATCCACGACAACCGCAGTCCCTTTGACTTTGGCCTCCAGGTGGAGACCAAGAATGTGAGACTGGGCGACTAAGAAGAGATTGGGCTGCTGTTCTGCATTACTGCCTCTTTGTTAATTAATATAATTTGCACTATCCACATGTACTTTCTGAATTGGCGTCAAAATAAGATTGTGTCTTTAAAATCATTTAACTACGGCTCAACAACATTTGTGGCGCTGCCATGGGCGCCCCGTCCCGTCACTTAGTCGGTATCGTCGCGCTTCTTGTCATCGCGTGAGGAGGCGTACTCCTCCGGGTGTCCCGTGCCGGTGGGCGTGCTTGAGGCAGGCGGACTGATGTCATCCGGCTTGCTCTCCAGCGAGAAGGGTGGAATCTTGCAGTCAAAGGAGTAGCCATCCTCACGCTCCAGCCGGAAGGTGCCCCACATATGCCCACTGGGCGCCTGCAGGCTAACATGACTGCTGTACTGGAACGCTGGCAGGCGGGGGCTGAGTATGGGCTCCTGCCCCACCACGCCGCGGCCACGGACCGTCTCCAGAGTGCCCGACAGAGAGAAGATGCGCCAATGACGTTCGCGCAACTGCACGCTCAGCTCGCCCAGGTTCTCCAGACGAATGCAGTAGCGCCACTAAAGAGAGCGACAAAAATTAGATAATATTTTGGACTCCAATCTAAAACGTACCCAATAGACGGAGCTGGCTGGCGTCTCCCTGCAGCCCATATAGAAGGGAATCACTGTGATTCGTACATTCTCCGTTGTCTCCTTGTGCACATCGCTCATGTCCAGCCACGGATGGTTCTTCTCCTGCCAGGCCTTCAGCGTTTCCTGTCCCACAAATGGTGGATCCGAGTCCGGGGCAGGGGTCAGGAACTTGTCGAATAGCTCATGCTGCAGGGGCTGCTTTTCGGTTGAGCTATAGGGCATAATGTCCTCGTGCGCCACATAGTCCAAGCCCGGTATGGCATACAGGCTTCGATTGGAGTCCTGATTCCCCAAAAAGGTTACGGCTTCAGTTTGCGCCCGCTAGAAAGAGAATTCGTATTATATTCTGGAAGATTCGAGGCTACATTTCTGGTCTTACGATGTGGGGGCAATCCCTTGTATCGATGAGCACCTGATAAAAGGTTTGCACTTTGCCCCGGACCTCTTTGGTGTCCACCTGAGAGTGGGCCGATGTCTTGGCGGTACCCAAACTAGTGGTACCTTCGGTACGGCTGCCAGCTGTCTGTGGTGCGCCCGTCCAGGCGGTATCGGCTGGCTGAAGAGATGGCGGCGACGTTGCAGATGTTGGCTTAACTCTAAGCGAAGAATCTTTGGTTCGTTGTTCTTGGGGCGGTGTGGCCGGCGTCGCGGCGGTCGCTGTTGCCGATGCGTTGATCTTGCTCGGATTGTGCAGATCACGGTCGTAGACGCGTGCGGTCCATGGAAAGAGTATCACTCCACGGTAGCCAAAGATGCGATGCAGGAAGACCTGTCCGGTCTCGTATTTATCATCCTTGGCCTCCACCAATCGTCCCACTTCCGCAAGCCTGCAAAAAGATTTGGATTATGCAATAATGATTTTTAGTGGAATTGACAACCCCCAGAAGGCTGGCTGGCTGCCTGCCTGCCTCCCCCACGAAGCAAGGACTCACTTGGTTGGATATGCCGCATTCTTCTTGATGCCGCGCTTCAGCAGTATGTCGCATCTCTGGAGCAGATGCCACCGCCTCTCCCATTGGAACACTTGCATCAACAGACCCATCTCAATTCATTCAAAATTCACAGATCACAGAGGAACAAGTGCAGCGCCGCCGTTCGTCTTCTCTTCGGTTTTGTCGGGGAGGGGACGGGCCCAATAGCAAACAAAACACCTTTATGCAATGATCTGGCCGACTATTCGGGCGGTATATGCTCGCTGTCCTGTTGCTTTCCTTGTGTACATGTGCTTCAAATTTTGTTTCTAAATATTACATTATCCAGTTTTCGACATTGTTATGAAAATTTTGATTTGTTTTCGGTACAGAAAAAGTACACTCGATTGCACTTTATTCGATATCGATAGACAATTTTCCGGCAGACTTTGAATATAAATTTTGCAATTAGCTCTAGAGATAGCTGTAAAATTAATCATTCAAATAGTTACATTATAATATTAATTTTTATTTGATTGATACCCCCCCGATTGTAAAAGGTTTTACTGGATTTTCATCAATCAGCTGTTTTTTGATAAAAATCGGCTGTCTTCGAATATATATACGTGAGAGTACTTCAACAAAATGAATTAAAAAGCAAATACTAAGATCTGTTAAATGTTCATTCAATTTAATGAAATTATTAAATATATTAGTTTTTTTTCTTGATAACATTAGATAAAACCCTGAATAATAAATATATTCGATCAGAAAATGCAGCCCTGTTGTGCCTCCCTCCAGGGTGACCGTTGTGATATGTAGCAAATGTGTAGTTACCATGTAAAAAAGGTAATTTTTGCTGACCTTCTTTGCTAAAATGCTCCAATAAATGAGAGTCGAGTCCTTAAAATAAGCCAGATTATGGAAAATTGATTCATCTATCTGATAAAATGATATTTTCAGTTTTTTAATTCCTAAGTAGCTAGTAATATTAAACCGAATATCAAAATGTCACAATATTGTCGTGTTCGTCGGTATATTTACGGTACATTTTGATTATGACATGGTTTATTTCGGTATATCGGTATAAGTATATTTAATCAAGTTCCAATTTATTTTTCAATATATTAGGATAATTTTCAAAATGACCGCCAAACTCATTTAGCGCACAAAAATTACTGACATTTTTCGCTCTCAATTCGTGGAGGTTTTTCAAAATTTGCTCTCTTTTCAGAGGTGAAGAGAGCGTTTTCGTGGTGACTTTTCGTGGTGTGAGAAACATGTATCTTACGGGAACGCGTAGCAACAATGAATCTCGCGATTGGCTGAAAGTTTAAAACGCGGTTGGAACGGTTTTAAAAAAAATATCAATGGATATTTTTTTTGTACTCAGCGGACTTGTCAAGTAAAATATTCGGCACTATTTTCTTTTTTCATGGTCGCGCGAACATTTTTTTGGACTTTGCCCAGAAAACCACCCCAAATGTTTGCAGAAAATTTTGAACGATTTGATTGGCTGAAAGTTGAAAACGCGTAAGGTTAACCGTTACTTTTGTAACGGATTCTCTATCGATAAGTATTTTTTGGGTACAAAAAGAAAATATTTATTATTGATGATAGGCCGTCTGCCTAAGAGGAGGCCAAATCGGGTCTGGCGTGGATTTATATGGCCAAATGAAATTGGCAGACTCCCAAGATAAATATAAATGTACGATTCTCAAATTTAAGTAGATCAATACCTAACTTTCTCTGATCACATAAATAAATTTTTCTAAAAACGCACGCACGTATGAAAGAAAATAAATTCCCTTTTACCAATAAATACTGAAACTGTACCTATGTAAATACCTATATCAATGAAAAAGGTTTCATTGGTTGGTGCTGATTATTTTGAACGTAGATTCATTGCTGCGAAGTTCCCGTAAGATACATTTGATTTGTATGGGAAAAAATTCAGCAACTTGGGGAAATGAAGTAGCAGCATTGTTGTGCAACTTTGGCACGGAATGAGCAACAATCTGCATACCTTGGGAAAATGGATATTATGGACTTGAGATATTGTTTGTAATTTCAGGCTCCAATTAATGCAGAAACTACTCAGCTCTGTTTTGAAAGATATTAACGAAATTTTGCAGCTCACGGGTTTCAATAATAGGTATCAGAAGCGGGATAAATGTATCTATACAACACAAACATGTGCATATATAGGTAAAAAACATGTCAATCTAGGATAAAAATAAATAATGTTTCAATGCAGCTTGGAACAAAACATTTAACATCAATTAAAAGAAATAAGGTATACAAGAGTACATACGCATAGAAGAAACTTGGTGGACCAGCAACACTGACGACACATTTAGTCAACATTTACGTTTTATGCTTTGGCCGTTTTTGTTTGAACCTTATTATGTAAAAAATGCAATAAACAGAAGTTTTATAAACTAGCTAATCTTGTAGAAAATGGATGTATCTATCGGATAAAATTATTTGCTTAGGGCTGAGTGGGCTAACTAACTAGTAATATTAAACCGAATATCAAAATTATGGAATACGATTTCAATCAATAAAATTGAACGTTAGCCCATTATCGACCAGAGGCGACAACTTATATATAACTTTAACATATTTTACGCATTACAGGTGAAAGATCTTGGTGGTCATATTTTTTTGTAAGTAAAGATGAGGATGGAGCTACAAGGAGCCTTTACAAACAGTATTATTTTCCCCGGTTTAATAAAGGGTGCAAAACATTTTGAATAGAGGGGTGTTAAGTGGGTTAGGTCTGGTTTGATCGCTGGATTGCCCTGGTTTTTTTATGGTACGGTATTTAAATGGTATTTCTCGAAACTGAATTGGTATTTAATGGTATTTATTTTTTGGCAGGATGGTATTTTTTATCGTTACAGGCTCGGTCACACTGGTGTTCTCCCTCTTTTTTGACATATTTCCGGTACGTACGCGATTTTTCGTCGGGCACAAAATAATATAAAAATATACATGAAAATGCATGTGAATTTTAGAAATAGTGTCTCGAAAGACTCGATGGATATGTGTGCTATGTTCGCAGAAAGTTGTTGTGCGCCTAATAAGTGGTTAGCTGTGCGATGTCTGTGGATGAAATAACCAAAACAAATGCCCAGTGCTACAGCCACAGCATAGGCCAGCAACACGACTTCTGAATGTAACACAGTTTTGTGCATGGTTTTAATGATGAAATTTTCTGCCCCAACAGTTAAGCCATGGCCGACACACAAGCCAAGCCCGCTGCTGCGCCCAAGGCCGCAAAGGCCCAGAAGGCTCCTAAGGCCGCCAAGGCACCAAAGGCCGAGAAGGCCGCCACCACGGAGGCGAAGGTGTCCGCCAAGAAGTACAAGCGTCACGGTCGTCTGTTTGCCAAGGCTGTCTTCACCGGCTACAAGCGCGGTCTGAGGAACCAGCACGAGAACCAGGCTATCCTCAAGGTAGGCCCCATCCCATATCCTTCCATTGATATTCCGATATAAACTATATTCTCTCTATTTCAGATTGAGGGCGCCCGCCGCAAGGAGCATGGCGATTTCTATGTCGGCAAGCGTTGCGTCTATGTCTACAAGGCAGAGACCAAGAAGTGCGTGCCACAGCATCCCGAGCGCAAGACCCGCGTCCGCGCCGTCTGGGGCAAGGTTATCCGCATTCATGGCAACACTGGCGCTGTCCGTGCCCGTTTCAACAGGAATCTGCCCGGTCATGCTATGGGACACCGCATTCGCATCGTAAGTTGAACCCCCGAGCTATATCTCTGTTTTCCCATCATTAACGTGTATTGTTTCCATTGCAGATGCTTTACCCATCAAGGATTTAAGTTAAAGGCAACTTAAGTAATTGACCTGCAGAGTAAAATAAATCCGTTTTATAATAAATGAAACCATTTAAATTTAATTACAACTCAAACTTGGTGTCAACTGCATCGCTCTCCTGGATGGGCAGCCTCGGTTTCAGTATTTTATAAATCTGCGGAACTATTAAACTTCTCGGCCAGGAGGAATATTCTGGATATTGGAATATCTTATTGGCTTCGAAAACCTAAACGATTGATTATATATCTTCTAGATGAGTGCAAGACAGTGTAGTTTCGTTGTTTTTTCCCCACTTTTTGCATATCCAGTGGCGTCTATTATGGCATCTTTGAGCTTGAATAGGCACTCAATTCTCCGGGGAACACAATGGACAGCCCGCAGGACGATTTTGAAAGTCCTTAAATTATTTCGGCTGCAATGGTGCTCTTGGATTGTAGCCTTTGGTATTCCGTGGTATTTTCCTAGTATTTTTCAGCACTGACGAAATCTCGATTTAATTTACGTCATAAAATTGTATTTTAAACTAATCAAAATCGGGTCACACTGCACAGCAGCGTGTTGCGGGTCGGAACGAAAACAAAAAAAATTGTTTAAAATTAAATTATTTTGTAATACAATTAGATATATACATAAATAGAATTTTTTATTTTTGTGCGCGCCGGGAAGTTATGAGGAAATGTGCGCCGACTTTGATGGGTGCTCCTGCTGCTGCTGCTGTTACACCACCATCGACCAAATTCGCGTCAACACGTCACCGTTGCACAAGCCAATTAATACCTAATTTATACATTCCATAAACACCGAAGAACACTAACAAAAACCATCAGAACTTACGTATATGTACGTATAATGGGCATACAGGATGGACTGAATGGCATCTTCACGCAACGGCGACGCAACCTGATCCTCCAGCTGACCATGATCACCTCGATTGTGGCGGCAATGGCACCAGCGGCAGCAGGAGCAGGAACGGATTCGGAACTCCAGCAGGCGGGCTCCCATCCCCCGCCGGCCCTCACACACTGTGTGGAGCGGGACGAACGCCGGATCGGACGGCGGTAAGAAGAAGCAGTTGTGTGTGTTGTGTTGTGTGTGACCCTTTTCGTACGCATTCTGATGAAAATGTTCTCGAATGTTCGCTCTACACCACAGTCACAAAAGCAAAAGCAGCTGGGCAAATATTGAAAAAAATGACATTTATTTCGGATTAAACTATTGGAAAAATTCTAAATCGTGAACATAATGAGAGGCATAGAAAATTGAGTGTTTGATTCCTATTTCTAACGTTAGAAATATCGAATTGGTTCAAGGACAGCCACTGAACCCTATGAAAATATCTGTTGACCCTCCTCCAACTACGCTTAAATAGTAGTAATCAGGGAACGCACCTTATCAAGCATGCGGTGAGTCATGTGCAAAAGAAAAAGTCAAACTGTTTTTAGTCTAGCGTTTTTGTTTGCGCCAGATAAAAGATACGGCTGTGATGTGCGATATGTTTAGTTATGCACACAGTAAAAAACGGGTTTCGTTTCACTTATTTGTGTTGATTTCTGCTTTCTGCGAGTGCGAGTTTGTTTAAAACATTTCGAATTTCACCATTCTTCTTGGCGTTTGCTTTGCGCCACATTTGGAGGGCGCCATTTTCGTATCTTCCGTGTGTGCGAGCGAGATGGCACGCAGAGAAATGGGGGCCAAAACCACTTGTTGGTTTTTTTTTTCTGGCACGGCATCAGCTGTGCTCCCCCTTGCCCTCATGCCAGCTGACAGTGTGACCATTTTGAGCGGATAAAAGAACGGATATCCATCTAGTTATCCTTGCATTAAATGATGCAATAATTTGATGCAATATGGAAATGCCGATGTTATGCGTTGTAAATTAATCAATTGGCGATAAGAGTAAATTTGTTGATTAGGTCAGGGACTCGACGTGGTGTTTTTCGTGCTTGAACTAAAGCTAATGTCGGTGCTGTTGTCTCCCCCCCACAGATTACTCTACATAACAACACTGGATGGACGACTGAGCGCTTTGGATATAGCCAAGTCGGGGAAGCTGCGCTGGAGTGTGCCCACTGGACCAGGACCACTGATCTCCTCGAGCATCCACCGCCTGGAACTCACGAACAATGGGCAATTCGTTCGCATGATTCCCTCGCTCAGTGGTGGGATATACAAATTCGATGGCGACTCCATAGATCCCATACCCATTACAGCGGAACATTTGCTTAGTTCCAGTGCCAAGTTTAGCGACGATCTGGTCATATCGGGTGGCAAGGAGACCCGCACATATGGCGTCTCTGCCCGTACCGGTCAGCTGCTCTACGAATGCTCCATCAATGGCTGTGCGAATGTCACGGCCGAGGGTCGCACCATTAACGACACTATCGAGGACCTCAAGGAAGAGCCATTGCCAGACGATGCGGGTGATGATGATGATGACCAGATTAGAGATGAGGCTGGCTATATTGTGGCGCATGATCCGCTGCTGGATGATGTCATCGTGGTGCGCCGCCAAACGCAGACTGTGCGAGCCGTCGAATCTCGCACGGGCATGGAACGCTGGAACTTTAGTGTCGGACAGCACGAGCTGGACATGGTGCGGGCCTCAGAGTGTCACATGCAGCCACGCGATGAGCTGGAGCTGGCCGTGCTGGATGTGGATATCAAAGTGGTGGTGCCAGAGGGGATCATTTGCGCTTTCAGCAAGAGCAACCCCCACGACATGCTCTGGAAGTATAAGGTGAGTGTCGGATCAAAGCCGGAACACGCCCAGTTTTAAGCCAATCTTCCTGCAGTTTGATCATCCCATTGTGAGTGCCTGGAACACCAATGCCGACGACGAGCTAAAGGCCATTGATTTGTTCAGCTCGGCCCAGTGGCTGTGGGACCAGGATGAGGAGGAGCTACCCAACAGCAGACCATCAAGCGCGCCCTCCATCTATCTGGGGATGTACGACAAGCAACTGTATATACAAGAGTCGATACGGTTACGCCAGGAGATAATGGACCAGACGCAGGTCTATCAGCAGCTGACAGGCGATACCAGTCTGATGCCCAAGATACCCTGGAAACCCATAGCAGCCAGTAGCCATTCCCTGGTGATCTTCCAAGCCAATCAGATAGATCCCGAGGTGATTGGGGAGGAGCCGCCGACCCAAGGAAGCGAGCTGGTGCCATATGATGATCAGAATTTCGCAGTGGCCGCCCAGTCCGTGCTGAATGCATCGGAGTTTGTCAATGGCAACGGATATTACTTCTTTACGGGATCTAACGAGCTGGAGTCGGAGTCAGAGTGTGGCACGAACGAGACATCCACTGGACTGCCCGCCATTGAGGCGCCACCTTCGTCTTCGGGCAGCAACACAACTGGGGGAGCAGACGCCACCGGCAATCATAGCAGCAATGATGGTCTTGGCTTTAGCCTGGACGATATCGATGCTCCAGTGAAGGTTGTGATCCTGTCGCTGTGGTTCTGGTGGAAGGAGATTGTGGTGATTGCTTTCACCTCTGCGGTTATCCTAAACATCTTCATGGGACAGCGGAATCAGCGTGTGGAACGCGAGTATTTGGTGATTGAACGGCATGTGCCGGTTCAGACAGCAATCGAGGCGACTGAGGCATCCACTCGGGCGCTACTCGGACCCGTTGTGCCAATGTCACATCAACATCATCATCAGCAGCAGCGTACTGGCAATCGCTTTAGCTTTCCGGGCAGTGGAAATACTCAGCGTTCGCTATCCGAGTCCACCACGCACTCGGGTGAGCATTACACCTCACGTTTCCAGACCGATTTTGATCTGATGACATGCCTGGGTCGCGGCGGCTTCGGTGTGGTCTTCGAGGCCAAGAATAAGCTGGATGAGAATCACTATGCCGTCAAGCGGATCACGCTGCCAAATAAGGAGTCTTCTCGGCAGAGGGTTTTGCGTGAGGCCCGCACTCTGGCCAGCTGTGAGCACCACAATATTGTACGCTACTTTCATGTGAGTAATCCTTGGGTGTAATCAGAGAAGAGATTATAAACGTTTAATTTCGTTGCAGTCCTGGACGGAGACACCGCCAACTGGTTGGCAGGAGGAGGAAGACCGCAAGCTGTTGGCCCACGAGCTGTCAACTTCCATACAAATCGAAACGCCCGACGAGAGCACACTCCCCTCAATGGCCGATCAGTTGCAGGAGAAGCGGCATCAGCAGCTCTTGTCCTGGGTCTCGGATGCGGCCAATAGCACAGCCTGCAGCCATGACTTTCACGGCAATGGCGATACAGGCGGACTCAGAAACATCAAGGAGGAGTATGACGATGATGACGATGAGGAAGAGGACTCGTTGATTGAGTTTCGCAGTGAGTCGCAGTCGGCAGCTTTGCGAGCAGGCGATCAGGAGCAGGAGGATGACTATGAAGAGGATGATGAGAGTAGGAGAGAAGGACCACTGCATGGCAGCTCCGTCTCCATTGACATCCACTCTGCGTCGTTCGATTTGAAGAACATTAACTACTCGCAGCATCCGCTGGTGTCGAACTCTTTTCAAATCGAATCCGTGCGCTCCAAGGGCAATGGCAGTGACGATGCTGGGGATTCGGATAGGCTCCGCAAGAAACCACTCACCCTGGCCCTGGCCCAGAATCACAATTACAATCATCAGCCAAATGGCAGCCATGGCACACCTCCGAGTGCCACCATGCAAAATGGAGTGGTGTCCAAGCCCAGCAAGGTTTACCTCTACATCCAGATGCAGCTCTGCCGCAAAGAGAGCCTGCGCGACTGGCTGCGGGAGAATCGAACCGAGGCTCGGGCTTCACACATTGCCGACATCTTCCATCAGATTGTGGATGCCGTGGACTATGTACACCTGAAGGGTCTCATTCATCGTGATCTGAAGCCAAGCAATATATTCTTCTCGCAGGATGGAAAAATTAAAATTGGAGACTTTGGCCTGGTCACCGACATGGCGGACATACCTAATCTGGTGGCCAAGTGTGGCGATCAGAGTGGCCTGCCCTCCTGTGCCCGGCACACGCAGCAGGTGGGCACCCACCTGTACATGTCGCCGGAGCAGCTCCTGGGTCGGCACTACGACTACAGAGTGGATATCTATTCGCTGGGTCTGATCTTCTTTGAGCTTCACGTGTACTTCTGCACCGAAATGGAGCGCATCAAGACGCTCCGTGGCCTGCGAGAGGGCCAGTACCCGAAGGACTTTGCCAACAATTACCCCGGTCAGTATGAGCTGCTCCAGCAGATGCTGTCCGCCAATCCCGATCAGCGGCCACAGACGAAGCAGCTGAAGCATCAGCTGCATGATATTCTGAGACTGCCCGACCACCTGGCAGACGGACGCAGCGAGCAGGCGGCTCTAGTTGAGGCAGCCCGTCGCCTGAGTCGCAGCCGCACCTTCAGCAGCTCCAGCGATCCTCAACAGCATCAGTGATAGACGACGGCCCGAGGCAGACACCAATTTAAGTCATCTGTTAACATTTCGTATGTAAGTTATGTATTCACCAAAAGTGTCCCATCGCCGTTTCTGTTTTAACCATCCTCTCACCTGGCTATGCCTCATCCGCTGACCTCGGAAACTACCACAAAGTCGGAGGATCATTTATTTGGTAGCATTCTACTTAATAGGTTTTGTATTACGTTCACCTTTTAAAACTCTTGCGTGTCGCAAAGTGCTTTTGTTTATAAGACTTATGATAAATATACACATTGATGTACTCCCAAAAAAAAGTCGCTAGAATAAGTTTATGATTTACAATTTACGATTTACGATTGAGTTGTGTGCCCCGCCCCAAATTGTTTGTCCAAGTTTGTTTCTACCGAAGTAGCCCCTTCCTGATTTGTGCTATCAGCTAATGCGAAAGTTTGTTTTTAGATCTAGGTGATAAGGAGAAATAAAACTGTTTAAAAATACAAACAATGGAAATGTTTTCTAATTGCCGACTGCGATAATGTTGAATCATAATTGATTTTATTAATGACATGACAATGTCAGGCGATTGTCTGGGGGAATACAGGTCCGCTGTGGTATTTCCAAGGGTTTCGGTTGATTTTTTGTTTAAATTAGCTTTAGGCAGTCTTTTTGAATTTGGATGAAGTCTTATAACAAAAAACACTTACCAGCGAAACTTAACTTGAACCATCAAAGTATTAAATCATGCACTCGAGTTTTATGTTGTTTTTATGTTGTTTCTCAGACATTCTCTTTTGAAGCATTCTCGTGTGTGTCTCGAGTCCAAGCCCCACTGTAGTGCGTTGCGAGCAAGGACGTTTAAATAAAAAATAAACTCCATTTATATATTTTGTATCACTTTATTTTGTGTTTTATTTGCGTCTTTTGCGCATTTTTCAAAAACATTCTCTACAGTTCTAACGTTTAGTCGCCGAATATTCATCATCGGTACAGTGCCTGCGCACACTGAGCACAATTTGTTTGTAGACAATATCCGGGTTGGGGCTTTTTTTTTTAAATATATTAAATTGCTTAACATTTAGGTTTTCGGTGCGTTTACGAGCTTCTGTCCGATTAACATTTGTTTTCTACGCTTCATTGCATTTGGTTTACAAAAATGTAACAGAGATCCGTTTCAATATTATGCATTTTTAATAATAGGCATCTAAATTTTAGCTGCTGCTGCCCTCACTTAAGATTAATTAGATGGCTCTGAACAAACAACAAGCGGCTGAAGCATCTGATTTCTCAATACATTATTTAAATGTTTAGATTTTAATTATTATAATGCTACACCTATGTACATACATATGTATGTATATATATTTTCCACTTTCGCTTGCTTCAATCAGTTGCAGAGGCAAGGCGTTGCTTAAATTTACAAAGATTCAACAATTGTCCATTGTTGCGTTTTCTTTTAATTATTGTTTAATTTCCATTCAACTGTTTTAGCGTTTAGCATTTTTATTATTTTCCAAAAATTAACAGCCATTTTGACGAATCCGTAAATGTTGAAAATCAAAGGCAAAAACTCGAACCAAATACATACAATTATATTTAGATTTACTCGTATATATGTATATATGTATATGGGTATATATCATATAAATGTGTCGATGTAAGTGCTTGCCGGTTGCTTACTTGTTGAGGAGAAAGACAGACTGTTGTTGGGAATGCAGTAATGCATTTTTCAGTGTTGGGTAGTGACAGTGGCTATGAACACATTTCTCTAGTTGGGATCAGTTCAGTGCTGGTGAAGGAAGAATGAAACTTTAATTGAAAAATGGGTGGTTTACAAGTAAGCAACTATAGCTATATTTGTATTAATGATTTGTTAACAATATATGTCCTTTATCAAAGCCACAATTATAGAATTTGTATTTCCTATTTATGAACAATATTTTTTGTTGCAAATTTTGTATCATTTAATGTGTGTTTATTATCGCCATTCCATTGTTTACCCTTCAAATAAGTTCTAAAAATTTTTTTTCCATTTCTTTTTCAGTAATCTTAATTCATTCCTATAACCATTCTTAATCGAACACTCAACTGGGAGTGGAACCAATTTTGGCAGTGCGCCCAGTTATCTACTTTGAATATCAGTTAGATTTATAATTATTTATGTATACATACATATACGTACGTAACTACAATAGTTTCGTTTTCCCCCCCCCATTAATACTTATATTGCTGTAAAAGTCGGTTCATAGCATATTCGCAAAGTTCATTTAGTTGAAATCTCTATGTACAAAGTCAGCCTTGATTGCTTTTCTTTTGAGTTGCTTTGAGTTTGTTGCTGTTTGAGGTAAAGAAAGAGATCGGTTTGGTATGGTGTGGTATGTATTTATTACGTAGTAGACTCGCAATGACTCGCAGCTACCTAGGCGGTGTCCAACAGATTGTGTGATATATGTGTGTATGTATGTTACCTAACTAACTAACATGTTGTTGCCGCTACACTACGCTACACCAAACACCTGCTGTTGCACCTTAAACTTTATTTCTAGCCTAAGGTTGAACAGTTTTCGGGTATGTGATGGATTGGGCCGTTATCACTAAAAATAATAACACAATCGTCGGTATTTTGTGCGTTTTAATCAAGTTATAATTCTCTTAGTTTAGTGTGTATCGGTTTAATATGGCATAATTGTTTGCATTTTTGTGTCTTAAGGCTTCAGGCTTAGGGTTCCTTACACGATGCATGAAGAACCCTAAGCTGTCATTCACACTTACGAGTATTGACCTAGTATAATTCTTGTATTTCTTGTAACATATTTCCCTACAGGCAATGAAATGAACCCACTAATACCCTTTGAATGTGAGGTGCAGCAGATAATTATGGCTATAAATCGATTGAGCATTGTAATGGCATGATTGTAATACTCCCAAATACTCGTACTTAACTTGCTCTTATGTTGACCTATAATTACGTACATTATTTGCTTTTAATCCAGTTTTTGTTGTTGTTGTGGAGACTTGACATTCGCTGACGCTTTGTTTGTGGTTTTGCTTAAGAACTAATTCTTGAAATGATCACAACGTTAAAGTATGTTTATCGTACATATATGTATATGTATGTGTGTATGTATAGCTTAAATATAGACATTACTTATACGATTCTGGTTTGGTTTCCATAACAAGGTTATTCGTTCGTTACATAAAATGTATTGTAAATTATGGTGGGATTAATTGCCTATTTACGATTCCACGACGAACAAAATAATAGCTACATATAGCGACAACGATGATAATTAAATAAAATTAAAACTTTTTCAATTGTTGTATATCTTCGGGGATACTCTTATTGTTTGTGCTGAATATTCATGTCAGCTGTGCTGCTCTTCCTGCCAGGCTTGCGGGCATTGAATTGCAAATGAAAATGCGAATGCGACTGCAAAAAAGTTGTCAGCAGGAGGATGATGTTCGTTGGCTCTGGCTTGGGATCTGGGCTTTGGCTCTTGCTCCTGGCCAAATGTATCTGGGGTTCGACAGCCATTGCCGTGCCATTGCCAGTCCCATTTCCATTCGCATTGGCATTTAAATGAACGAAGCTCTTGCAAACAAAAATGCGATGCAACCCATAAAAGCAGCCAGCAAAATGTTGTAATAATGGCAAACAAAAGCGAAGGCAAAAGAAGAAAGGGAAGGGGGGAGTCGACACACGGGGACAACTGCAAAGTGTGGCCACTAAAATGTATGCTAAAATATGCATCTGCAGGCATTGCCATGGGGCAACAATGTTGTTTCTTCTGTTGATGTTGCCTCTGTTGCTGCTGCTGCTGCAGTTGGCCTTAAGGAGATTGCGTATACGCCAACGTGCCACCACATCTTGCCCCATGCTGTCGGCAACAAGCAGCTGCAAAAGTATCCACCCGGGACACTCGTATTTACGCGCTAGATCAAAACGTTTGCTTAAAAAACTTATGCAACATTTGCTAAAGTATTGTACAGCGTCCTTTATTCCTAGTTGATTGTGAGAACTCAGTGCCAAAGCCACCGCCTCCTCCAGCGATACCGCCGCCACCGCCAACGCCGCCGCCACCTCCCGTGCTGCTCCCACTGCTCGTGCAGCCCATTAGCTCACGGAATACGTCGCCGATTTTGTAGTTGTATCTACAAAAAAGAGCCAGAATAGAATACCATACCAGTTAGTGTTGCTTGCCAGCCCCGGGGCCGAAGCAATTGATATACGAGTACTGTTTGGATATATCTGGGTATTTGTAGGGGTATCTGAGGGTGTATATTGATTACTCACTGCGCTGAGCACTCGACATAGCCGCAGCGCCAATGTTTGCGCACCAGCGTGGAAATATCCTTGAGCTCCTGCCAGGCCATGACGAGTGTGTGTGATGAAAGAGAAGAGATTCAATATTGAGTGGAAATCTGTTGCAAACTAATAGCAGGAAAGAAGAAACAGAATAGGCTTTCTCTAGCAATTCTTAAAAGAAGAATGCGGTTTATTGCTTTGCCAGAAGTTTGCTTTATGTCAGTAAAATATTCCTAAAATTCCCTTTATACTCTCGAGTCTTCCTCTCAATTCTCAGACTGTTTAAGCCACTAGCGTACTCACCTGCGAATTGGCCTGCGCCTCAGTCACATTGTCATATTTATTGCCAACCACAATTATGCTAAAATCACGATGACTGAAACTGTCCAAGATTTGATCTCTCATCGAGCGGCAGTACTGGAATCGAATGAATCGCGTAAATTGGCAATCAATTAAAGAGTTAAAATCAGCAAGCCATAGGGGGGCTATCGATGTTGATGATGTTGATGATGATGGTGATGATGATGTTGTGGGGTTTATGGGCACCCACCTGAAATGTTTCCAAATTGCCCATGTCATAGACTAGCACATATGCGTGCACCGTTCGCAGCCCCAGCGGATGTCCGTTGTTCCATTCGGCGAAGTTATCAGCCGGAAATCGCTTCTGGCAAGGATTGCCATGCCAATTGGTCGAGTGTTTGTTTTTCATCAGCATATTTTCGACGGGGACAACAGAGCACAGCAGAGCAAAGCACAGAATCCAGGCACGCACCGACCAAAATTCCCCATACGTACCCGTACCAGGGGAGGAGTATCGTATCGTATGGCACACAGATATGTCAATACGGTCGGTTGAGTTGTATTTTTGTTTCGCATTATTTTGGCACGCATATGAAAAGCAAATATGGAAAAGCGGAAAAGAGTTTTTTGTCATTTAATAGCGGTACACAACAGGCAGATGGGTGACATAAATACGGAAATATACGAGTTCATATTACCATGTGTTTTTTTCAGGAAAATGTTTATTGAGTTTATGGTGTAAGTGGAAACACTAGTTATGGTTCATCAAATCAATTGCGCTTGTGTCATTAAAACATGATAACTCGTTAGATAAACACAATTATTTGCCATACTAGAGGATGTATTTTCAATGGCATTTAAATTGGGATTATATTCAATAGAGAGACAGAGAAAGAGAGAGAGAGGGGAATAAGCCGTAACAGAATCCGTGCAAATAGAAATCATGTCATTCTCGAAATAAAAATGGAATAATCTCAAATTCCTTTATCTGTAAAAATATTTCCTTTATGGAAAACATTTATGGATAAGTGGCAATGGGGTATTGGGGTATTCTATTTATTCTATTCTATTTCTATTTACCACCATAGTGGCTGTCGTAATCTTTTTAGCATACGTTGCTCCAGCAGCACCAGCAGCATCAATGCCATTTATTTAATCATCTTTGTTTCAGAAAATTCACTAAATTACTGGTAGCTTTCACGTTTATTAAATGTAACTGAAATTCTTGTTCCTGCGGTTATTCCGTTGTCAGAGACACTCTCACAATAGCCGTAAAACGTAGCAGTAACACTAGAATTATCGTTAAATGACAGTACCTACGAGTAGTTAATGCATTTATAGCCCTATCTGTGTGTGTGTGTGTGGTGTCAGTGGTTTCGCACGGCACAAAAAAAATACTGTACCATTAGGGCTGGAAAAGTTGCTACGACGGGGACTTGCCTGCCTTCTGCAGATGACATAAATCAATCCCCAAGAAGTGCTGCAGTTTTGGTGTAAACAGGACCCAAAAGGCAAATCTGAAGCTCACCACAGGGTCTGCGTCTGCCTACCCACACAGTGCTAATGAGCAGGAGATGGAATGAAAGATGGGAGTGGCAAGCAGCGTTTCGTACGCCCACAGCAAGACAGTAAGTAAACGTTATAATTAAATTTACGGCGCAGCATTTTAGGCGCAAACAAAAGTCAAAGGCCGACTAGACAAGAGACTCTAAAATGAAAAGAGAGCCCAAGAAGAACCAAGAACATTGAGGGAGGAACAAACAGCCGGAGTACCAGTAACCCACCCGTCCGTCGTCCCATCCAGCGAGCTCCAGCAACCTCCTGACCCTATCTCTGGCACAGATGGACAGCAGCAGCTCAAGAGTCCGCATTCCTTGGCGCCTGTGCGTCTGGCCCTTTGGGTTCTTTGGCCCCCAGTCACACCACCGCCTGTTTGTTTGTGTATTGTGTCATTCTCCACTGGGTGGCAGCCAGTCGACGCCACTCCCGTCAGGAGGCAGTAACTTAGCTAGATTTACGTTTTTGATTAAATTTCATTTAATTTGTGCTTTTGCCCGGCCTCTGGCCTCTTCCCTTCCCGCCGCCTTGTTAATTAACGGGCTGTGCTCTGTGTGTTTGCCTGAAATGCGAGCAGCTCGTTAGCCAGTCGGTTCTCAATGTCTGTTTCGTTGTAATTGCTGCACTGTTGCTATTGCCGCCTTGGATTGGTCTCTGGAACTCAAGTGGCGAAATGCGTACTCCTACATACATACATTGAATGCAGTCGAAAGGACACGCAAAAAACTTGTACACAAACGGGAACTAAACGAATTAAATGCCACAAGTCTGGACGGATGACATGGAAAGTTGTGTTGTTTGTTTTATTTTACTATTCATGCGGGGATTTATGAATTATTTTAACCTTAAAGGAGGATAAGAGAGTGGCAAGAGTAAATTAGTTTTATCCGATTTCGTCTCATAGTTTATCATCCATTTGAGTAAAATTCATTTATAGTATGCTGAAGTTCTTCTAAGAAAACTCTGTTAAAATATGTATGTATGGTGTGGGTGTACATCCATTACACAGCTGTGAAATATTTTAGAGCGAAAAACTTTCCGTCTGCATACATGCCCCATAGGCATCGTTAGTCCAGGTCATTGAGTCCCCAGTTGTGACCTGTTCCCATTCTCTGGGGCTGTCGAGATGAGGGCTCTCAATAAATTGTCATTTCAAGTTGCTGGACTTTCGCTGCGGAGGCCACTTAGAGTAAACAATAGCTAACTAAATGGCCTACCCACTCACTCACTCGCTCACACAATTACAGACAAAGACATACAACTACATATATATATTTTTATATACATATATATACCTAGACCAGATGTTCTGTCTTGTGTGTATGGGGCGAAAATCTGTTGGAAAATAAATGCTATGCTGCTTGTACAAGTGGAAACCATTAAGGTGGACTTTGAGTTATGACGGCCAGGCAGTGCACTTGACGATGAAAAATTTACCACAATAAACAGGAGCCACCCTTAGTACTACTCTCTTACCAACCTCACCCCCCTGACTGTTTTGGCCCGGCTCTTAGACAACCGTCAGAGCCATTTGGTCCACACAATGGAGGAACACCAAAAAAAAATTTAAAGCGAAGTATAATAATGAATGAATGAAAAAAGAACTGTACTCGAAAACAAATTCACGCCAAAATGGACATGAATAAGTTGAAAGGCATTGAAAAGGTGGCCAGGGGTGGCAGAAGGGGGCTTTGCAGTGCCATCAAAAGAGGTTACATGAACGCGGGGAGGAGGAATGGCATCACGTAGTTAATATGACAATGGATGTGGCTGGCCGACTGCCCCTCTCGACTGGCGACTGGCAACTGCTTTTTGTTGCCTGTCAACTCTTTTGCATCGTTTGCCATTTCAATGCAAATTTCTTTGGGTGTATATATACATACATATATATGTACTAGTACGAGTATCTGTGTGTGGCCGTGTCCATGTATTTGGCAATGCTCGGATATTTATAGCGACTATACAGAGACTTGCCCCTTTTGTTGTGCCTGGGCTACATTGTCAGCACACTCACTTGGCCCAGTTTTTGGCTTTGTGCTGCTATCCCAGAAAACGATCGGAGGGTATTTAAGATATACCGTCAAGCTGGTCATAGTTGGGTAGCAAATTTAACAAAACTGTGGGATCTATGCAGCTCTGATGGGTGGACAAAGACAGTGCCAAGAACATTCTATGTATTTTCTCTTAAGTAATCCGTTTGGAAGTCTTTTATAGATTCAATCCGCCAGTGAAATCTGGCGTTATATAACCTATCTATGGTGCAGTTGTATGGCAGTACCTAAACTACTATTTTTTCTTTAGTTTTAAATGGCATTCTCCAAGAAAACCCATCCATCCATATGTGAAACCTCAAGCCACATCCACTTTTTAGCTGGCTTTTCCTCTGCTTTGCATAGACAAAAACCAGAGAGAAAAACTTGCTCCGTCGCCAGTGTGTTCCCATAAATATTTTATGATTGTTAAACGTGGCAAACAAACACATTTGGGGCCAGGGCATGCGAGTGGAGGAGAATGGTACTGAATGGAGATGCAGGCCAAGCCGCAGGCAGACCCTGGCCACTCGCCTTCAACAATTTCGGTGTCAGTTTGTGATTTGCGGTTTGACCGAAAACGGTTCTCTAATTGCCGAAGTCAGTGGCGCAGTACTTGGGTCCACTCCAAGCAAGGACTCGTGCACACCAGTGCCTTGAGCTTTCAGGTTTATGCAGAGCAAACTGCCCCCAAAAGATAGACAGAGAGTAAAGCCACAGACAGGACGAACTTTATGGGCAGGCCATAATTGCTCCTCCATGCGAATAATAGTACGAAATGGGGCAGGACGACGTCAAGGACCTCGCACGGCAGCAGACAAGTTCAGGCATTTGTGCGAAAGTTAAAAATTGATAATATCCACCGATGTACTACATCCACAAAAACTGCCCACCAGAACCACTCTCCTGTACTGTCGGTGGGCATATTAAAAATGTATATATGCCACTTTTGATGGGCCTGAGCGGAGACTTCAATAAAGTAAAGTAAGCAAAATAATCTCTCAAAAACGACCAAGAGAAGCCACCGAACAGATGGGAACAAATTCGAGTCGTTTGGAAATACTCTTTGTGAAAGTTTTATTTGCCGAAAGTTACTAGAAGCCATTGAGCAGAATACTGGGGAATATTCTTAATGTAGGTAAGATTTACATTTCAAATTATAGATCTTTAATGGGGCCCACAAAAGCTCACTGTTTAAGCTTTTATCTTAAATCGAATACTTTGCTACCAGCAATCTACCAAATGGAATCCGAATACTTTCTGCTCTCTTTTCGTAACCAAATCTGATTGCATTCTTTTGCTATTTATGCAACAAAATCCGACAAACCCCTCAACAATATCTCCATGCCTTTGGGGCATTGGATACAAAAATGAAGAAAAATGTATAAAACGTAAAAGCGAAGAACCCCCAAGGAGAGTTCGCTTGTGGCAACATCAGAAGCAGCTTCTGTTGCCTGCCATTCGGTTTTTGTGGTTACTTGTTGTCTGCGGTAAACTGTTGCTCTGGTTCGCTTGATTATTAAAAAAAAAGAGGGAATTCGAATTCGAATATGGAAGGGAACTGTAAGCAGGTAGTACGAGGCACCCATACAAAATACTCGAGTCTAGACAGACCCCGCAACAGAAAGCTTACTTAAAGTGTTTTTGGATGCGGAATATGTACATTTATGCAGTTCGGGCCTCTGGCAACAGATTGTAGCAGCTTGGTTTCTATCTCTCTCTAGTTCTGTCTCTGACAATTTAAATTATTTAATAAATTACTTTGCCCAGCCGGCGTAAAAATGGAGAATTTTCTAATATGTCGGGTTCTCCATGAAATTCACTGGAAAATTGCATAAAAATAGTTTGTATCGTACACATTTTCATAAAATATTTCCCTTAGCGCTGACAGTGCGAAAGTTCTAACTAAATTATGCGAAAGTTAGGATGTCCTGTGGCTAGGAGAAGGTGCTGGTGCTGTTGCTGCTGCTGCTGGTGCTAGGGATTTGGGTGGTTACACCTACTCACCTGGGGTGGAACGTCCAGTACCATCAGCTCACGTATGCAGGTGTCGCAGACCAAACAGTTTTTATAAATCTTTCGACGCGTTGTCGTCTGATGAGTCTTGGGAAAGTCATGGTAGAAAAATTGCTGTAAAAAATGAAACACGAAAAAATATTGAATATTATTATGATTGTAATATATTGCGCATACGGCACGTGGGACGTCACGGAAGAATAAATATAAAAATGAAAATTCCATCGCTAACTCGCTTGATGCCCCTAGAAACCTTGCTCAAAAGCAAACCAAGCTTATATATATTTTTATATGTTTCTTTCGTTCTTCTATGGGATTTCTGTGGCATAGAAGCAGAGGTACGAGTACGAGTAGATGAAGCCGAGTAGCCGCTGGTTTATTTCTGTTTCTGTTTCCTTTGGCTTTTGTTTTGTTCTGTGTTAAGCAAACATTTTAAATATGTGCTCTGCTCTGCACAGCTCTTCTCTGTTCTGCTGTGAGGTTCTTTTACATGAGGTTCTTTCAAACAGGCGCAGGCCTGAGGTCAGGTCACATTTTATCCACATTTTTAGCTTATTAAAATTGTGTGCTCATAAAAGCGGGCTATGGATTTTATGCTTTCGGTGGTCATGTAACCATAAAAATGCCTGCAAAAAGCAGTAAATCTACAGAGCGAAGGATGCTGGTGCCGTGACGGTAAATGGGAACGAATGGGGCTGATATATGGGGAAATCGTATAGATTTTATTTACAGTTTTGTGTACTTAATTTGAATGAATTGCAGCCTTGGACGGAGGAGATTGGCCCTTTGAATCTTAATTATATAGGAAATAATGAGCTTTGATATTGAGATCCACCTAGGGGTTATATTTAACCATATAACTCATTTATATTAGCAGACTGCAAGCTGTAGTAAAAACTAAAGATTGTTTCTGTAGTCGGTCAGATGATTTATCTTTCCTAAATCCAATTTTAATTCAATCACCCCCATCCAATGGCTTTTAAATCTAGAACCTACTATTTCCCACTTTCTTTTTCATTAGTTAATAAATTTTTAGACTCTTTATCACTAGCTTTTGAGCCAATTTTAAGCTTCAGTAACGAGCAATAGCTCTAATGCGAAACGAAACTCATAACCAACACGCGGGACTATTTCGGAATCTGCACTGAAACGTGGTCGAAATGACCCCATTAACCCGCGCAGGGCCCTCTAAGCCAGCAGTTTGGTGTGTGGGTCGAGACCATCTAATTTTCCCCTAAAAGCCCGGCGGATGGAGAGATGCCAAAGCGAATCGCAGTCAATGGGAAAAGTATCCCTGAAAATAAGGCAGAGGCCGGCGAAAGGCATAAAATAAATTTCCCAACAAGAAAAAGAAGTAAGTGAAAAGGAAAAACGATAATGAAAGAAGAGGAGTGTGGGAGGAGTGTTCTGTGGCCGTATGTGTGGGTAGGTGTGTGTTTGTGTGTGTGTGTGAGGGTATCAATGCATGAGTTGAATGAGTGACAGGCTCAAAGGATATTTAACGCCTGATTGCATTTTAAAGTGATGCCTTGTCATTTTCTCCAGCTCCAGCTCGAGCCAAGACGCAGCCCAAGGAACCATCGTCGAGATTGCCAATTCACGATTATCCCACATGATGTATGTGTGTGCCAGTGCGGGCGCGGGTGCGTGATAAGTTGGCTAATAATAAAGTCAAGTGAGAATCATTTTGAGGGCCATTCTGATTCTCATTCTCATGTTCTGCTAATATAAATGCAAATTCTTTTCTGTCAATCAGCGGCCTCATTGTTGTCACTACAGTGAAATCAAATGCAATTTTTGCACACGACGAATCAATTACCCGAGACTGAAAAAGGATATCCGCTAAGATGGCAGCCAGTCGGTGGCCGTGGGAAGCGGAAGTGGCCAGTGGCTGGCCAGTCTTAAAGCGTGATGTAGAATGCTTTTAGCGGCCATTTTAAATTATATCCTGCACCCACAGATACCCTGACACTCCCATAGGGGGGCCAGGGCATGGACATGGCGAAAGGGGTCACATCGCATAGCATGGATGCCACGCTTTTATGTCCCAGCGCCGCATATCATTGAGTTTTATTTTTATTGAACTGGTAATTGAATAAGAAATGACATTGATGGTCGTCTCCATCTCGGTCGTGGTCTCTTGGCATCTTGCTACACTGCTCCAGTCCCGAACTCTTCTCTCTTTCCCGTTCGCCCTCTCTGTCTCATGGCCGGCTTTGCGCCTCTTTATGCTTCTTGCTGCGCCATAAAGTGCGCTACATTATCTGTCACATAAATAAGCAGCGACTGGGCGGTCTCAAGCCGTAAGAAGCTTTTCGAAATTTACACAAATGGTTATTCATGGCGTATACTTTATGGCTATGATGCATTGCATTTTATTTGGCTCTTTTATCTTCAAGAATTAGCTCACTTTATTCGATAGTTTAGTCAGCCAATTTGACTGGGAGTCAGGAACGGAAGTGAAACTGAGTTCAAGTTGTCAATAGGGCGGGGCGGGTGGCGGGGCGGGTGGCGAATGAAATTTGCACTCAAACAACAAATAAGAATCCAATGCAACACGATTTTGATTGTAGTTATCATTTAATTCTCATAAAAATGCACATTAGGTTTTTTAACAGTTGATAGTAGCGAGAATACATAACTAAATATATTGAATAGTATGGGAGTATAAATCGCTTTGTTCCGCTTTTCTTTTACATTTAAGCCTCTCTTTTTTTGGAGGCAATCCACATTTCTTATAGTATTATTATTTATTCTCTGGCTTGAATATTTTTGTGGGGCCTATTATATTCCCACGATTCTTTAAATATTCCAAATATGTATAGGCACGTATTTGTTAATTTGATTTCACATGTATTTCCTTTTACACGGCCATTACATTTAGAGAGCAATCAGGATTTCAGCCATGTTCATGCTCCATGCTCAGCTTACCGGAAACAGCCCCGCCACTTTCCGTCCATTTCCCTTCACAGCTTGACCGCAAAACAGCCATTAAACAGGACGTAATTGATTTTGTAGTGCTTAAAATGCCATAAAAAAGCACAAATCTCGCATTACACACAATAAAAAGACGTCCAACTGGGAAAGAGATGGAGAACTGGCACATGGACACAGGGGCTTAGAAGGAGGGCAAAGCAAGGCGAAGGAATAGGAATAGGGAGGGGACTGGGTTCATAGCACAGCATCTAAAAGCACGAGCGGGCTTTGAGGGTAATGCACAGCCCTAACCCACACAAATACACAGACAATCGCAGGCATTAAACGCAGCTGTAAAACGCACACAGACAAAACAAACGTATGGAAAATAATGAAGAGCAAAGCGAAAGCAAATGGCAAATGGCAAAGCAACCCGGAACTCAACTCGCAACTGGAACTGGAACTGCCAACTGCAGTTAATTGAATTTGCCGAGCAAAGAGCCGTGCATACGGCATGGGCATGGGGAGCAGACTGCTGGGAATGAGGAATCTGTGGGAGTGTTCGCAGGGCAAAGAGCCTGCGCTTATACGCTTTTTAAAGCGATTAAAGGACTAGAAGACATAGTGACCTACATCTAAGGATTTAATTAAGTTAGATCTGAATTAATAATGAACGAGGTTATTCATAGCTGATATGGTCTATGTTCTGTGTCTTGTGATATCCGATGGCAAATAAAGTGTTCTTGGAGCTCTGGAAAACCATGGAAATAAACGGCTACCTCTTTTTGGATAGAAAATAGAGCGAAACAACCAGCAAGTTTATCATAAACTAAAAGCTTTAAGAGAGGACTCCAATTACCAATGGTTTTAGCATAACTTTTCTGTTTGATGGAGGAAAACTTTAACAGATACAATCCCACGAATATGTGCATCTAAGGGAGATATCTGGACAAAGAACTTCTTCCATCAGAAACAAAGAATATTCTAAGGGTTACTTCTTTTATTTTTATTGTACTTTAAGCATATATTTTTATAACAAACATAATGTCCGAGCTGATATACCCTCCCCTCGAAAGTCTCCTGAATGCTGAACCCATGTGCGCTTTTGTGGCTCTGTGCCCCGCCTTTGTCTAATTACAAAAGATAAACCACAAAAGATACGATACGATGCGAAGCGCAAATCAAATTAACGGCGCTCCCACACGCACACAAATGCAATTAGGAGAGCCAACACGCACAGGCCAGAGGAAAGCATTCGGGTGCAGGTACGAGTATACATAGAACGAAGCGCTAAATATCCTCACTGAAAGGCAGCTGCTCTGGGACTGGTCTATTAAAAAGTTTGCCGCTAAACTGATGCTCCTGCTGCTGCTGCTCTACTCGTTCACCACCATTGCTGACTCTGCTAAACTTCAGCTTTCATCGGGGCTGCCCCATAGCCACATTAATAACACTACTCGACAAAATCGAACTTTTTTTTTCCTCAAGGATCCAAACCGACTTTTTCTGATAGATATGGGGCTTTAAAATTTTTTAAAGAATTATGGTTTTTTTTCTATGGCAGAACTTTTTTTTGAAGAATTTTTGAAGTCTGGTATTTTTTTTTTAATCTTTTTTCAGAGGTAGCGCTTGTTTTTTTCACATAACTCTAGTATCTTACGTCTGGTTGTAAAGAACTTTGCTATTTTGAAAAGATAATTGACGCAGCTAGAAGTTAATGTCAAACACTTTGTGATTTCAGCTTACCGTCTGGGAAATATAAAGCATTGAAATGCAAAAATGATGATTTTTGTGGGGTATTTTAACGAAATTTTGACTTTAAAAATAGGAAAAGTCGAAAAAAAATTATATCTTGTGTTATCTATTTTTTGTGTATAGGTGCGTTAATTTGGCGTCGTTTAAGGTATCGCTCATTAAGATCTATTGAGACACTTTGGAGCTAAAATTCGTTAACCAAACCTAAAATATGGAAAAAATGAACAAAAATACCTTTTTGAAGGCGGCGGGCCCAACTACCAATTGGGAACAAAGGAACGCGATCAGGTACCAAATGTACAACCCTTGCTCGTTTGCTTTGTTCCCAATTGGCAGTTGGGCCGCCGCCTTCAAAAAGGTATTTTTTGTTCATTTTTTCCATATTTTAGGTTTGGTTAACGAATTTTAGCTCCAAGTCTCTCCATAGATTTTAATGAGCGATACCTTAAACGACGCCAAATTAACGCACCTATACACAAAAAAATAGAGGACACAAGATATAATTTTTTTTCGACTTTTCTGAGTTTTTAAAGTCAAAATTTCGTAAAAAATACCCCACAAAAATCATCATTTTTGCATTTCAATGCTTTATATTTCCCAGACGGTAAGCTGAAATCACAAAGTGTTTGGCATCAACTTCTAGCTGTTTCAATTATCTTTTCAAAATAGCAAAGTTCTTTACAACCAGACGTAAGATACTAGAGTTATGTGAAAAAAACAAGCGCTACCTCTGAAAAAAGCTTTAAAAAAAAATACCAGTTTTCAAAAATTCTTTAAAAAAAAGTTCTGCCATAGAAAAAAAAAAAAATATCATCAAACCATTTCTAAGCCCCAAATCTTTAAGAAAAAGTTCGTTTTGTTCCTTGAGGAAAAATCGTGTTGACTAGTGTAATTTAAAGCCCAGGCTGGGGCATGAAAAGTGCAGTCCTGCCTATCCATTGTCCCACCTTACCCCATTCCTGGCTATGGCATATACATATCCACAGAAAAAGAGAGAGAGAGTGACAGTTTTAATCAGGAATTGTGTTAATTGAAAGTGCAATTTGTTATTGAAAAATTAATTAATACGACTGGGCAACAGGAATCCTTTCTATGCCTTTCCGTAGGGGAATGGGAATGGTGTTTGGGTTCGGTTTGAGGATAATGACTGTTATGGCCATTAATTTTAATTGCATTACAAACTGCATTGCACATAATATACATACAAACTGCATTGCACTTAATATACATACACACATATATTTAAAGCTCCAATGGCAATTTCGTATTAATTGTTTCAATTAAGTTGCGATTCTAGGTAAATGCTCTTTGCTATTTGGGATAATAGATTTAAATAACTTTAATTAAGAAGCTTAATGGCAAATGGCAAAGTGGGACAAGGAATCTAATGACATTCATATCATTTAACAGAAACACACACTACCAATGGGGATTAGAGGGAATAATACCGTCATAATATAAGATTTTAATTGATAGATAACCATGTCAATAGCTTACCTGTAATATGCTTGTTTTGCCGACGCCAGTAGCCCCCAAAAATGCGGCTTTAAGGGGGCCCTGCAGCCATGGCGGCTCCGCACCACCCTCCAGAGTGATGCGCTATGCCGAAATGCACTTATTTTGTATATGAAGCTCCATTTCAATTGAGATCTTTGTGGCTTTGTTGGCTGCAATGGCACTGGGACTGGCTTTTGATTTGGTTCCTTTGGCTCCTGTTCCTGCTGCTGCTGCTGCTGCTGTTCCTGAGGCTGGGGCTGTGCCTGTGGCTGTGGCTGGGACTGGGGCTGCTGCTGCTCCTGTTTTATAAGTGGCTGCTGTTGCTGTCCTTGCACTATCACCGACATAATCAACGCTTCGTGTGCTACCGATCAATAGTTTCTTAGAGTTTGTTGGCGATATTGTACTACTCCACATTATATTGTTATTATAATTGCTTGTAGTATTGTTGTTATTCCTTTGCTTTAACGACGCCAGCTTGACTGATTTTGTGTGGCTTAGGGTTTTCCGATAGAAGAAGGTGTCCTCAAAGCAGCAAACTTTGGTTCAGTGTGAGGGGGGATGGGGGGGTTATAGCTGGTATGAAAGCTGGAGCTGTGGGGCAGGACAAGGCATGTTCGTGTTTATGACTTGGCTCTAAAATAAAAGCTGAAAGAAAGAAAGAATTTGGAAATTAATTGCGAGAAACTTATTGTTCTACGGACTGAAAGCCACTTCAATATATATAGAATAAATTATTTTATTTTAAGACACAATTCCTGATTTAATAAGCAATTGAATGATTCTGTTATTTCCATCAATTGAATTTGTTTTCAATCTGATTGAATGCTCAATCTAATGCATAATATAATAATTTAAATGGAGTTTCCGCAGCAATCTGACAGCTACACCGATGTAACACACAAATCAATGGCAGTCCAATAAATTCAACTCAAACGAAAATTGGGAAAAGTATACCGCCGTATACCACCCCAGGAAAATTGGCTTCTGCTGGCAATCAGCTGCGACGCTGCTAACTAAATTTATTGAGTCGCCAGCGGATATTGCACATTGATTTCATTTTAATAACATAAATATTCCCTGGCCTTCTCTCGCTTTTGATTTGTTTGTGTTGTTTTCCCCTCGGATTTTGCTTCGCTCCTTCGCCCTTTGCATTGCCAATAATAAATTTCAAATTTCACATTTCTCTTCCGCTGCACAACGGAAGTTGATTTCTGGCTCTTGCGCTGCTGCCACCGGCCGCCCGAGGGCTCATTTTCTTTATGCCTATTTTCCCCTGGAAATGGGGATAAAAAAACCAAACGGCACAAAGAAAGGAAAACATTAAGTGAGGCGTGAAAAATGTTTGGCAATTCTGGTTGTGCCTTTCTTTTTATTCACAGTATTTAGGTAAGGGGGGGCACCACAGGGGTGCATGTAAATTACACGACACCAGCTTTATAATTAGAAAAGTTTGGGTGCTTCTTCGAAACGAAATGAGATTGGTCGTTGATTGGCCTAAAATATATTACATAGATATTCGTAGATGGAAAGTTGGGCGGCCATGTTTTTGGCAGCTATCTAAAATTGGTTCATACTCGTACTTAAAGCAGCATGTTTCTGGCTGCGGGGGAGGTTTCCCCACTTAATTGTTTAGACAACTGCCAACAGCTTCATCTATCATCCGACCACTCAACGCCTTCGCCTTCGCATGGCAGGCGGTGGAAACTTAATAAATTTAATAACCGCAAAATATGCCGTGAGCGAAATGAGTGGGTAGACGGGGTGCCAAAAATGCCAGACAGCCATAAAATCGTTGGCCTATTTATAGCCCCTCGCATCCCCAACAACATCTTCAACATTTCCTACATCTTCAACAAGGAGCTCTCCTTTCGTTTACCCCCACCCCCCCAAAAATTCCATGCGTCATCGAGACGACGCCCACACATAAGTAGGTGCGTATTGTTGGGATGCCAGGAGCAAGACGAGGCGGCTGATTTGATTTGATCTGATATGATTGAGGGGCGCCCGGCCCTGGCCCCGTCCCGCCATGGGTGTGGCTCAGCATCAGCGCCCACACACACACACACACACATAAACAAAAGTGAGTCACCTTCTTGGATGGTGGGGGTATTGTGTTTTTTTTTTTTATGTTTTTGGAGGCTATAACCCAAAAAGAAGGTTGTCAAACTGTGTCGGATACTCTGACTCAGGGAATGATAACTGGTTCAGCAGATTGGAATGGAGATAATCCATATAGGTGGGGTTAAATAAAGGCGTTTCCTTAATATTAAGAAGAAAAACTTATTGGTAATCTAATGTAATTACAGATAAAAGCCGATTTTAATAATCGATATTCGAATAATTACAGACATAAAACAGTAAAAAGCAAATTAAAAATTCGTTTACGAATCAAAAGGTGAAGAGAATAGAAAGAAGGAAGCATAATAAAACTTACAAATAAAATAAATTCTGAAGAAAGTGTGATACAAATATTAACCGATAAATGCACGAGGCCACGAGCGATAAAAATACCAAATGAAATAAATAAAGATCACAAATGCTTTAAGTGGAAGAAAAGACAAGGAATACAATTTATGGTGTAAATAAATCGCAAACTGCTGGCTTTCTCGTACAAAATCCGAAGGGTCTATAAATAAAGAGCACTTTTAAGTTAAGATCCACAAAAATAAAGACAGCAGAACTTTAACTCAAAGTTGCATTTCGGCAGCACAAAACTAACAGAAGGCCTTGAGACCAGAAGAAGTCGCTATCGCTGCGAATAAATCTACATAGCCCACATAAATCTGAAAGTAACTTTGTTTTCCAAACACCCTTTAACAGAGTCTTAACGCCAGAACTTTGATTAGATTCCGGGTAAAGCAAACTGAATTTAATTTGGAAACAATACATTTGGGAGCGCATAAGGGGCATTCCGAATGGGTTTTCCTTTTGCTCCTTTACCCAAAACTCGTTGCTCATACGCCCCGTGGCCCATTTGATTGATACGCTCTCGGAAAACGTACGTAAACAAGTTTTTGAGGTTGAGATGTGGGCTTTTCCCCCGCCCGGGGGCGTCGTTGTCGAGACACAAAACCTGGCAATTGAAAACTTTCCACATTTTTCATATTCTTTTTTTTTTGGCAACACTCCACAAAGAGTGTAAGGGTCTCCGCGAGACTTGGCCTTGGAATCAAAGTCAGACAATTGCAGGACGGTTATTGTGTTTTTGTATACTGTATTACTTTTATCTGTCACTCGGTTACAGTTCCATCCACATCCGCATCCCCCATCCCACATCCCAATCGGTGATGTTACAGGAATGTTTATGCTGACAGGCTCACGCAGGCTGTTCCCGACAGAGTTCGACTTCTGGTACGAGTGCCCGGGTCCAGGTCCGAGTTACAGTACCACTGTCAGACTCATTCCGCTTCCGATTCCCCATTTCATGGCCTGTCTGCCTGGGCTTCCTTTCCTTCTTTGGCTTTTTTTTTATGCCTCACTTCCGCCTTGTCCATTTCTGCCTCTCTCTCTCTCTCTGTCTCACTTCTCGGGCCATTGTTTTTTTATGCTACGTGCCACTAAAATTTTATTGGTTTATTTATTGTTTTTAGAGCAACTTTCCACAGTTGTTCTGCAGAGTGCTTTTGTCTTTTGTGTATGTATAGTGCATAAAGCGCTCAACGCGGAGACAATCAATTAAAAGTTTTAACCATTTTAATTAGGGGCTCATGCTTCCACTCAAGTGAGTTTCAAATAAAGTCCTTGAGCTTCTTCAAAGAATATTTTCCCACCCAAAAAAAAAGGCGGCATTTTTGCATACAAATCAAAAAAGCTGTCAAAGGAGCAGCACCAGCAGTAGGTCCTAGATCCCATATATGTACTTCTTGTGTATGCACATGGCCTGACATGTGCAGACAGGAACAGCCAGGACGACTATCCAGGAGAGACAGAAATGCGGCATCTAGGTGGCATGCAAATATCTGTTCGGTGTGTGCTGCCCCGGATAGACAGACGGAAATGAAATGTGTGACATTTGATGCCACCGAACTGTAGCTTTTGGGCGGATATTGATTTTGTTGTATGTACATTTTTCACACACACGATGCGTGGCAGCAGGGAATGAGAAGAGGCAACATTTACCTACGTGTTGGCACACAGCAAACTACTCCTGAAGCAGGCTCCATGTGGCACGAATCTTATGTCAAATCAATGCTCAAAATGTTTGATACTACACATTATTGTATGTTGTGTGATATGTGTATATAGTAGTTATTTTGAGTGTATGCTAAAGGGAAATGCAATGCCATGTCCTACCTGTTATATACTCTCCCATCCCTGGTATAATCCCTTAAAAATACCTTAAGCAAAGCAATTTGCGCCATAATCCCTCAACATTAATTCAAATTATGATGGGAATAAACCAGAGCACAGCGTTTAATCAAATGCTTAAGTGAATCTGTGGAGATGACGAAGACAGAGTAAGCACCAGAGCGCGATGACACGGACTCGCTTCGACTCCTTCCTGGAAAGCGCTACTTTTTCTGTCATTTGCATTTTAAGCACACCTCTCTTTTTCCCTCTCTCTCTCTTGCTTCGTCTCTGTGCGTAGTATTTCATACAAGCTAATTTTTTTACGATTATATGCGCTTAATAAACGCCAACGCCCGTGGAGTCGCAATGAGGGATATCACGGAGAACCGAAGGGCCACGGAAGGCCTCTGGATGCCTTGGGAGCATCTCAGAGCCACCAGCCATTCCGGGAAGCACGAGCACGTGCTGTGCCCACTGCTTAGTCGGGGCATTATCTAAACCAGCGCAGCGGAAGCAATGGCAACGCCATCATCAGCAGCAACAGCGCCGGAAGTTGCCTTCCACACACATACACACACACACACACACACACACAGACACTTATAGTGATGTAGGATAGTGGCAAGTCCTGCTGACTTGGGCTCCTAAGCAATTGCTTTAGTGTGTACTTGTGTGTGGGAATACACTGGTTAACAAGGTGTTTTGATTGGGCAGTGGAAGGAGATGCATTTACATTTACATATTCAACATATTCTAATAGAATATTTTGTATTCAGAAAAGATTGATTTTCTAATATTTAATACCCACATAAAGCCCATTTATAGTGGAATATTTTATATGTTGATTTGAATGCTATGCTCAGCTTTTTAGTATCTCATAGAAAACTAGTTATAAATCCAGTTGTGCTTTACAGTGTAATGGCTATAGGCCGGTATTTGCTTTAGTTGGCAAGAACCTTGGTAACTTCTCCCCATTGGCATTTATATGGCTCCCCATGGCAGCGTAACCATCCCTACATCGCCCACTAACACTAACCAATCCACCCACCATTGTACCGAGGCACTGAGGCTCCAGTCAAAACACTTAAGCACTGTCAATGTGTTTGGATTTCGTTGATTTCAGCTTGCACATATAATAAGAGCCCCACGGGGTGGGGTAGTGGTGGTGGGCGAGGGAGGGTAACAAAACGTTTTACTCCCTTTTTGCATACATTTGTCCTTGGCTCCGAGAGGGTGTCCTTGCCGCGCGTGTCGCTGTAAGTGCGCGTTTTGAGTGTTCAGCAAATACGCGAGTGCTTGGCATGGCTTACCGCGATGGAGGTGTACCCCATGTACATCCACTACCCAAACAGATA